GGATCCACTGTATATCTGAAGACTTTGGTCTGCACAGAAGGACATTCCTTATGCTCCCATGCTGGCCACAATCCAAAACATTTGTCAGTAGAATTAGGACTTTCTTTCCCTGCTCTGGCACTAAACATTTGGCATTCAAAGGTGCATGGGGGCTTCCTTTCTCATTCTGAGTAGAATATATTGGTGTCACATCTTTGAATGCTGGTCTCTATTATTGGCTGAAGATTGACTATACAGTGATGCCTCGCTTAGTGACATTAATCCGTTCCGGAAAAAACGTTGCTAAGCGAAATCATCGCTAAGCGACATTAACAAGCCCATAGAAACGCATTAAAACGTGATTAATGCGTTCCTATGGGCTTAAAACTCACCTTTAAGTGAAAATCCTCCATAGCGCCGCCATTTTCGCTGCCTCTTAAACGAGGAAAAACAGCGGGTGGCCATTTTGTTTCCCCGGTGGCCATTTTGAAACCGCCAATCAGCTGTTAAAAAAGGGCCGCTTTGTCATGATCGCTTCCCTGTGATCATCGCAAAGCGAAAAAAACCCATAGGGACTATCGCAAAAACTCCGTCGCTAAGCAATTTCGTCGCTCAATGGAGCGATCGCTATTCGAGGCACCACTGTACTCAAGAATCATAATGAATAAATACAGACCATATCCTGTAAAAGCCTCTTAGGGCAAGGGCTTGCAGACAAGGGCAGCTTGTTTTCTAACTCAAAAATGAAGCAGCAGTTGCCACTGTGGACAAAATCCTGTCCTTTCCTATTGTTTACACAACAAACTGTTGTTCAACCAGCTGAACAAACTCCCAACCTTCCAAAAGGAGATATTTCTAGACACCTCCTTGTGCAAGCTCACAAACTCTCCAAGTACTTGTGCAACAGATCTGCATGAGCAAAAGGAGCAAACAGGTTTAATTTATCCAGAACTTCTGAATCAATACAGATAGACTTAGAATTGAGTTTGCTGATGTAGTTGTAAAATGCTTTTCGCATCCAATGAGAAAGACTGCACCAGGCACCAATGATATGCTTTTATAGAAAATGACAGCTCAGTTAATGTCACGGAGAACTAACATACCCTTTAAAAGCTAGCACTGTGTCCTTGAATTAAAAAGCACATTACTGAAGAATTGATCCAAGTACTGTTAAGGTCTACAAGCTAAATCAAGAGAATCTGAGACGCTGATAAAATCATAATGTTGAAAAGTAAAATCAATACAGCTTCTTCTATAAAATGCAGGACATCTGACTGGTAATGCCAAGGGTTAATGGTGAAGGAAATTTAAAAATTTTAAATTTACCCAACAGACCCCAAAAGTAAATTCCCTGATGGTTGCTGTTGTTCAGTCGTTAAGTCGTGTCCGACTCTTCGTGACCCCATGGACCAGAGCATGCCAGGCCCTCCTGTCTTCCACTGCCTCCTGGAGTTGGCTCAAATTCATGTTGGTAGCTTCAGTGACACTGTCCAACCATCTCGTCCTCTGTCGTCCCCTTCTCCTCTTGCCTTCACACTTTCCCAACATCAGGGGATTTTCCAGGGAGTCTTCTCATGAGATGGCCAAAGTATTAGAGCCTCAGATTCAGGATCTGTCCTTCCAGTGAGCACTCAGGGTTGATTTCTTTCAAAATGGATAGCTTTTTCTCTTTGCAGTCCAGGGGACTTTCAATAGTCTCCTCCAACATCACAATTCAAACATGTAAATTCTTCGGCGGTCAGTCTTCTTTGTTGGCAAGGTGATGTCTGTTCTTTAAGATGCTGTCTAGGTTTGTCATCACTTTCCTCCCAATAAGCAGGTGTCTTTTAATTTTGTGGCTGCTGTCACCATCTGCAGTGATCATGGAGCCCAAAAAAGTATAATCTGTCACTGCCCCTTGACTTCCCCTTCTATTTGCCAGGAGGTGATGGGACCAGTGGCCATGATCTTAGTTTTTTTGATGTTGAGCTTCAGATCATTTTTGCGCTCTCCTCTTTCATCCTCATTAAGAGGTTTTTAATTCCTCCTCACTTTCTGCCATCAGAGTGGTATCATCTGCATATCTGAGGTTGTTGATATTGTAGTGGTGCCTCGCATAACAAGTGCACCGTTTAACGATGAATCCGCATACCGATGCGGATTTTGCGATCGCTAATACGATCGCATACCAATGTTTCTTCGCACAGCGAGGGGGAACAGCTGTTCGGCGGTGGCCGGAACACCCAAAATGGCCACTGGAACCACCCAAAATGGCCGCCGGAACACCCAAAATGGCCACCGGAACATGGGGAAACATCGCAGAATGGTGAGTTTTGGGGCCATTTGGAACGCATTAAACAATGCTTAATGCGTTCCAATGGGTTTTTTGATCCATAGAGCGATGTTTCCCCATAGCGAAGGTTAATCCGTTCCGGATTACAGTGGTGCCCTCGCTATGTGGGGCACCACTGTATTCTGCATATAAGTTAAATAAGCTGGGAGACAGTATACAGCCTTGTTGTGCTCCTTTCCCAATTTTGAACCAATCAGTTGCTCCATATCCAATTCTAACTGTTGTTTTCTGTCCTACATATAGATTTCTCAGGAGACAGATTAAGGTGGTCAGGCACTCCCATTTCTTTAAGGACTTGCCATAGTTTGTTGTGATCGACACAATCAATGATACTGGACAACAATTTCTACCACCCACAGAACTGGTCACACTAGCTGGGAATGATGGTAGTGGAGGGCCAACATAAGATAGGGGCTAAGTTTGAAAACTACTTGCTTATATCCATGGATGCAAAGGAACCTCTTTCAAAGACTTGCACTTCCTGTAGTGCTCTGATCAGTGATATGAATTAAGGCCATATCTGTTTCTGGGGATGAACAGTGCCAGTTGAAATGCCACCTTCAATAACAAACATTAATACTGTTATCCATATGGCCATCACAAGTAATTTTTCATCTGCTCACCTCAAGACAAGAGGTTAACCCTTTCACTGATTCACTCACCAGTTCATTAGCCTGATCTATTGTGAACACACTGCAGTTTACTCTGCTGGCAATGTCAATGTTTGCATCACTAAATGAGGAGATGAGTTGTTTACATTCATTTTGCATTCGGGTGAAGGGGACAGCAATTTCATCATAATAAAGATGCTCAGAAAGGACATCAAGCAAGCGTGACTGGACTGCAGGAGCCCCCACTTTATTTTCCTGAAAACAAATACAGAATTTAGTTATTATTTAACTGTCAACCGGGCCATTTTATTGTTACAAAGTCTATGGAAGAAATCATAATTACTTCCAATAAGTAAAGCTGATTTCATCATGATATAATAATCCATGATCCTATGTATGTTTATTCAGAAGTTAAATTCCCCTTTGAAACACAGGGCTTATTCCTAGGGAATTATACACAGTGGATTGCAGCGTTGTTGTACTAATGGATTAAAATCCAAATTCCCACCACTGTGGATCCCAGAAAGGTCAGCCTGTGTGGCCTTGTGCAAGCTGCACAGTGCCAGGACTGCCCTGAGAAGAAGGGAATGGTAAACCACTTCTGAGTCCTTGCTACCTAAGAAACCCTTAGGATCACCCTTACTCAGAATTTACTTCACATTGTGAACCGATTACTGCTTTGCATTCGGTCCCAATATTTTTGTATACTCCTGTATATTTATATATTTTGATGTTTTCTTTGTGGCTGGTCTTTTGACCGTTATAAAGTTATATCTATCTACTTCACATTATTATCATCACCATCACCATCACTATCATCACCACACAGAATGAAAGGGAAAAGATCCAAGCTCTCAATTAGTTCCGTTATAAAGTTATATCTATCTACTTCACATTATTATCATCACCATCACCATCACAATCATCATTATCATCATCATCATCACACAGAATGACAGGGAAAAGATCCAAGCTCTCAATTAGTTCTGTGTACCTGGCACAACTTCAGCCATTCACTCTCAAATTCCCATAAAGTTTTGAAAGAACTGCATACAGTGTATGAAATTATTTACACACAAAATGAGTCTCACTATATGCACGTCTGAAAGTATTTTTTTCAGTCTTCAACTGTACACGCCGAGTACTGCAGAACAGTCCTATCAGATATTTTCAGTTTGAAAATTGGCACTGGGGATTATCAGCTATCAGCAACATAATGAAAAATGTAATTTGCTACACACTTATAACCCAGTAAAGGTAGAAACGGTCAAAGCGTGAAAATAATATGATTGTAAAAGGAGGAAGCCTCGTGGCGCAGTGGTTAAAACGCTGTACTGCAGCTAAAACTGTGCTCACGACCTGGGGTTCAAATCCCAGGTAGCCGGCTCAAGGTTGACTCAGCCTTCCATCCTTCCGAGGTCGGTAAAATGAGTACCCAGCTTGCTGGGGGGGCAATGTGTAGCCTTTAATTTGCTATACACTTATAACCCAGTAAAGGTAGAAACGGTCAAAGTGTGAAAATAATATGATTGTAAAAGCAGGAAGCATCCTACCTTCTGCAAGGCAGCCCACTCGCAGATTACTAATGCGACACTAAACCTCTGCAAAGCTGACTTGGAATTCAAGTGGAAAAGCAATAACTGGGCTAGCGATTCAGCTGGCTTTATTTCTTGGGAAATGGCATTAACACTCGGGTCACAAATACAGCAGCAGAGGGCTCCAAGCAATCTGGAAGAACAATCAATTTTGCATTAGTTACATTTCAGGTAACACAGCATTCTGTGCAATCTAACTTGAGCTGCACAGTATCTTGTCTTCAAAGACATTTTAAGATTTTCAATAACAAACTGACTTTGCTGCCATCATCCTGGCTCTCATAACAACATAATCTCTGGTTACAGGATCTTCAGCAATGCTTTCGGCACCACCAATGTATTCTTGTATCACTTCTTTTGTCTGGTTCTGACCTTGCCGCACCTTGCCACCTGTCTTTTCCTGTGGGCAGAAAAAAATAAGACACCCTTTAGGCAGATGCACCATTTGCTTTCAAAAACAGTTCTTTCACTCTTAATGCTGTATTGCAACCATCAGGAATGTTCATGGCTATCACAGACTGCTCCTGCAGAGGAATGCAGTACCTACCATACTTCTGAACTCAAATAGGATTCATAAAATAACACCAGCTCTAGAAATCAACTAAATGCCCCCCACAGAGATTTCCCCACCCCCAAACACTGCTTTAATGTTCTCAATGTGTCAGCTCTTGCTACAAGTTGCAAGCATTAGTTAGCAGGCATTTAATGTGCCTAGCAAACAAGGCAGAGAAATAATGAAAAGATACATAGTATCAGAAGATGAGCAGAGTATCAATTTGTCCCTCTATTTCCAGAATAGAAACAGACACAGACTAGGGCAGTACTGTACAGTGGTACCTCAACTTACAAAAATTGGTTCCGGAAGATGGGTGTAAGTTGAAATGGTCATAAGTCAAAGCACCATGTCCTACTGAAATGCAATTAATCCGTTCCGACCGAAGGAAAAAAAAAATCACACACACACACACACACAAATCAGTGCAAGACTCATTGGAAACACGATTAATCCCTTCTGCCAACGGGGGGGGGGAAGCAATCAAGCGTCCAAGACCCATCGGAAATGTACAGAAAATAAACGGAGCAGATCAGAAATGCACAGAGGACAAAGGGGGCAGTTCAGAAATGCACAGACAGCAAAGGAAAAAGCAAGGGAAGTATGCATTTTTCTCCACTGGAAATGGGGGAAAAAACCCAAAAAACAACCAAACCCCCCAAAGACCCATCACAGCACAGAAACGTAACACCTCCAGCCAAAGGCCACATTGCAAAAACACCCAGAACAGTTTTTATAAAGCAGAAAACAGCACCTTACCTTACCAGGCAGCCTTCTCCGGTTGCACACTTTCTAACTGCTGGGGCGAAAAAGCTACAAAGAAGCAGCCTCGTCGCCACCTACAGTTAGAAATTTGAATTTCCTGCCTTTTTCCCTGCCTTTTTCTGTTCGTAACTGGAAGCTCCGGCTGCAACTCGAAGCAAAATTTTGAAGCCAGAGCTGGTCATAACTCAAAATGGTTGTAAGTAGGGACGTTCGTAAGTCGATGCACCACTGTATTTCTGATTTATGCTTCTTTAAGGAGAATGGCACAACTCTTGGCAAGAAACTACTGCTCATTAACATGGTGATGGTAGCATTTCTGCATGTGTGTGCAGGAAGCCAACCAGCACCTTGTCAATGAACAACAATTTGCTGCCAAGAGTACACAATTTCCTTTCCAGGAGCATGTAAAGACAATAGGATTCAGGGTGCAGACCTCTGATCATCCACTTAAGGCACTTATGCAAGGTCTCCAATGGGAAAAGGAGCATTTTCTTCTCTTTTGAAATATGCAAACTCCTTTGACTCAGTTCCCTCTGAGGACCTTCAAGATTGTAATACCATGTTTCTTTCCCATTGATTCCTTTAATTCCATTATGGGGGGTAAAACTCGGTCTCTTTGCCTTAGACCTAAGCATATACGTAATGAATTCCTATCCCCAAACAATCAAAGAGATGCATTCCAATGAACTTTGAGAACTCTAATCTACTAACTGCAGCTACATTTGTTTAACCCATTAAGACTCCAAAGAAAATTAGGAAAGCAAACAATATCAAGTGTGACTGTTTCAAAGTCCTAAGTGGAAAAAGCAGTAACATAATCAAAGGTATAAAACAACAAATGCCCTCACTCTTCCCAGCGTTTACAGAGTGGATTGGGAGTCTTCAGACTGCCTGGTACTGCCTGGACTGTATTTTCCCTGCCTTCCCTGAACCTTTCTTGACCTAAGAAGAAAAGAAACAAAATATCCCCCTCTAGTGGTCGAAGGCAGAATAGCAGCTTCCCATTAGTTTCTACGGACGGAAAAGAGCAGATACGGATCAAATGGTTTTCAATGCATTCCTATGGGAAATGCAGATTTGACCTGAGAACTTTTTGACTTGAGAACCGCCTTCCAATACGGATTAAGTTCTCAAGTCAAGACCCCACTGTAATGAATTCCTACCCCCAAACAATCAAAGAGATGCATTCCAATGAACTTTGAGAACTCTAATCTACTAACTGCAGCTACATTTGTTTAACCCATTAAGACTCCAAAGAAAATTAGGAAAGCAAACAATATCAAGTGTGACTGTTTCAAAGTCCTAAGTGGAAAAAGCAGTAACATAATCAAAGGTATAAAACAACAAATGCCCTTCTGAAATAGCAAAACCCTCCACTATGCTTATCTGCTCTTCAACAAGCCCACTTGATAAGAAATGAGATCTTTCATTGTTCATGGAGGGGAGATTGTATTACGATAGCTAAGCTAGTTTGTAAAAAAAAAATCAAACTGATTTGGGGCACAGTCTTTGTTCTTTAGTTTTGAAGGGTATTTGTAAGACCTCCTTTTGTTTCTCTTCTCTTCTTTTTCCTTCCTGGGAACACTGGACACTTGATTGGTAAACAGCAGTATGCAATGCTGGCATGTTGTTGTTGTTTAGTCATTAAGTCATGTCTGACTCTTCGTGACCAGAGCACGCCAGTCCCTCCTCTCTTCCACTGCCTCCCGGAGTTTGGTCAAATTCATGTGGGTTGCTTCGATGACACTGTCCAACCATCTCGTCCTCTGTCGTTTCCTTCTCCTCTTGCCTTCACACTTTCCCAACATCAGGGTCTTTTCCAGGGAGTCTTCTCTGGCATACCATTTCCAATTTATCTTCAGAGCTGCTTGGTTCATTTCTTTCCATATAAAAAGCGGTTTCCTTTGCATAGTTTCTTTTGTCCTCGCCAGCACTTCTCTCTTCCTGAAACTGAACTATGGCAGCTTCTATCCCAAGCCTCCATCCCTTGGTCACAAATTATATTCCTTCCAAAAGTGTGTCAACCATCTTCTATGTCAATTTTAAGAGGCGGCAGTTTTAAGAAAACAAAAACGTTGACTTGTAAATTATTTAACTGGCTGGAGAGCTGAATGCACAGGGCCATTTCAAATCTCCCCTTTTCTCCAATTTGCAACTCTGCCTGCAACTGGCTGTATTCTCTCACACTTCCTTTTTCCATAAAAAGAAAAAAAAGATTAAATCCCTTAATTTGGTTCCCTGGTGACTGATTAAGTAAGGTATGAAATAAATCAGAAACCAACAATCGAGTTAACTTGGGTCGTAAAGAGAACTGCTGAAGGGAAGTGGGAATACCAGGATGGATTTGTTCGGAGAATCGAAAAAAACTGCTTCTCCTAGCTTTTTAGTTCTATTAAACAGGGTGTGCTCAGCTGTGGAACACCCTACCAACAGAAATTCGGCTGGCACCCTCGCTGGGTGTTTTTAAAAGCCAGCTAAAAACTTGGCTATTCAAGCAGGCCTTCCCTCCAGCCAATTAAGTCTTTCTTATTTTTCTCCCCTTTTATGCCATCCCATCTTGGTAATCTTCTTCAAATTAATTGTTCAATTGTAATTGTAATTTTATAATTTTATATATTTTATATTTTATACTGTTCTTTTTTATCTATGTAAGACGCCCTGAGTAGACATGATCTAGAGGGGCGGGGTAAAAATCCAATAAATAAATATTACTGAAACAGATCTGGAACATGACTGGCCTGGGGCATGCAAAGAAATAGAGGTAGTGCTTAATTTTCAGAAGACAGACCTACAAACAAGGGATGCAGGCTTATGGGGAATCATGTCAACTGTGTTATTATCCTTCATCTTTCATTCTCTGGGAAGAGCAGAGGGATCACTTGTTGGGTAAAAGGGGATGGGATGCTGCACATATTCAGAGGCACTTTTATGATTTTTCAGGCTATTAGAAACAATTTTTCTCTACCAAGCTTATGTATAATTTATCAGTCTCTGCTCAAAACTGCTGGCTGTCTACAATATACAAGCACAGATGTTGACCACTCTTCTGTTAAGCAGGATCGAACAGAGAAAATGAAGGCAATGAGAGAATGAAGGCCGACCTTCCAAAGGTAAGGCATAATATCTGGCAGTACAGTTGTATACAGCCTAACAATGGTGTTGCAAGGTTAATAGTAAGCCTGGAAGCTACGGCATTGGTGTCCTTACTGAATTTCAATATAATTTAGTCATTTAATATTTCTTATAAGTGGTTATACTTTTATAAGTGGTTTTAGTGGTTTACCATTCATAACCACCAAAACTATATTGCTCACTGTAAATCAAATGGTGCACATCACAGTGGTGAACTGCTAGTCAAGTCATGTGACTCAGCAGGCAATAAGGAACAGAAGACTTGAAATTTTAACAAGCGGTAGTTTTCAGCTGCAATTTATTCTGTTTGACTTGTGTTGGTATATAAGTAATAATATTCTGATCTATGCTTCTATATTTAAGTATCAACACTAGTGAAGCCATTTTTCCAACACTGGGTTTTCAAACAGCAGCTCATTGTCAAGGAAAGAATCAATATATGTTACTAGACAAATGACAACATAAAGAACATGTGACCCTTTCAGAATCATGATGCAATATTATGATCTTGAATCTCTTAAACTAGAAAAGAGCCTGTCAAAATGTTACATATAATTAATCTTAAGCAGTATATTGTGGTTAAAAATGGAAATACATTCCCATTTAAATCTCTTTGCTGACCTTTGCTCTGGCTTTCACTTCCAGCAACATATTCAAATCAATAGGCAAGTGAGAAGGCTGCATCATTAAGCAAAGCCAAGCTCCCATCCATGGACATGCAGCTGCTACCACATATGGTAGGGTAGCCTTGCTTATCAATTCAAGCCACACCTATGAAGGGAGAAAAATAAGACATTCATATACAACCTGAAGTTACTTGATTATTTCCAGAATTATTCAATTCACAAGCTGTCCACAAACCTTGTAGAACACTGTTTCATTTCTATAGAATAGCATGTTACCGATCAAACCTAAAAATGCTAGCTAGCACTAAAGCTGAAACCTAAGCTGTCATAACAACGCCAGACCACCATTACATAAATAAGCCACGGCAAGTTTATGTTACAAAGTGACAACATACCTTTTGTATTAGTTCCAGAATTTCTTGATTACTTTCCAAAATACAGAACTGGAAAATATGTCTTAACATGTCTTGCAAAATAGGCGTAAGCCAGGCTGCAGAACTCTGAATATAGCCAATAGAGAAACAAAAAAGTAGATGATCTTTAAAGTGTAAGTTGGGAAAAATAACAAAATGCTACTAGTCACTGGCACTACCAAGGCTTTGAGCTGCTTCCCACTTCTAGAAGTGGCGCTCTCACAACATTTCTTCACATTTCCATTTATCTCCCCTCCCCACGGGCACTTTTCCCTACTGCTCTCCTCTACCTCCTCTTGTACTCTTTATGCTTTTTTCCTCCCTTCCATAGGCACACTTATTTTCTCTGCTTCCTTCCTGCTTTCCATACTCCTCTTGCCCCACAACCTTTCTCAGATATATTCTTCCCTTCTTCATTCTGCCTTTACCATTTATTTCCCTTCTATGCTTGGACTCCTCCATTCTTTGACACTCATGCTCCTTCCACTAACAAAAGGTACTGCTACCTCTCCTTTCTTCACTTTTCATTCTTACATCTTTTAGAAAAGGCTCAGTGCACTGCAGAGGAAGCTGCAGCTTCACTCAGAACTCTGATTCCCCTACACCTCTGCAGAAATAAAATACACCCACTTCTTTTTTCTATCATAATTAGCTTTTAGATAACTAGCTCTCACCTGATCTTGAGTAGACAACAGGGTAAAGAGAGTTTCTAATGCAGCTTTTCGAACAGAAGATATTGTGTGATGTAGGAATGGCCACACACGTGGTACCAGAACTGTGAGTGATTGCTGAATACTAAAGCAGACAGAAAATAAAGATGACTCAAATTCCACTTTTAAATTCATGTTCATGATTTAAAATAAAAATACTATTTTGTTATAATTTTACTGATAAGCAGAAAGCACTGTACAGAGATTATAATATTCAAAAAATATGAATGTAAAGACACATGACACAGTGAACCGAGAAAACTGATTCTCCAAGAATTCAAGCAAGGTTTTTTACAACCTTACTAACAGTGTTGATCCTCTAATCATCATCATCATGATGTACCATCAAGTCAACTCTGACTTATGGCGACCTTATTCAGGGTCTTCTAGGTAGACAATATTCAGAAGTGGTTTACCATTCTCTTGTTCTGGGTCTGTGCAGCTTGCCCAAGGCCACACAGGCTGGCTATACTCATAGGAGGCACTGCAGGGAATCGAAGTCAACCTCTGGCTTCATTAATTACATCCTATTCTTCACATGCATCTGTTATCTTCTCCCTAAACAGAGGTGGTGGTTAACCCTCTCAGAAAGTAACACGTTAAACATGCTCTCCCAAAGTACTGGGGTCTAAATGTCACCGTATAAACAGAGAAACAGCATTTAATAGCTCAGTAGAGAACTCAATGAGTTAGAATACTTGGTTCTAGAGAAAAACACATGTGTTTGATTCCCTACCATGCCTCCTGGAAGAACAGCCAGTCTGTGAAGTCTTGGGCAAGCTGCAGAGTCCTAAGGCTCTGCAGAAGAGGGAATTGGTAAATCACTTCTGAGTACTTAAACTAGGAGACCTTGGAAAGGATCTCTATAACTTCAAACTGATGGCACAAAATTAGCATAAATTAATTAAGTTGCTTTTTCCTCAGGACTGGGATTTGTACCATCCCAAAGCATTCTAGGCATATGGCCAAGTACTATGTTTGAAAATGCTTCAAAATACTCTACGTTATATTACATATAAGTTTCTTTCGTTTAAAATGTGGTGAACAACTATGAAGTATGTGGGGGCCAACTCACCATCAGCAGACCAATTATGGGCAATATTTCCCTATTCTGATAAAAACAGAAGTAGCCAGAGGTCTACTTCTGGTTCCAGAAACATAATTTTTGTACTTTAAAGAAGAACTGCAGTTCCTGGAACAGAATTCTCAGTGCTTTCAATGAAGAAATACACTCTAAGACCATACAAACATGATATGGACTACTATACCAACTACTGTAACAAAAAAAAAAATCTAAAATATCCTAGGAAAAGATAGGTAAAGGTAAAGGTTTCCCTTGACATTTAGTCTAGTCGTGTCGGATTCTAGGGCATGGTGCTCATCCCTGTTTCCAAGCCATAGAGCCAGCGTTTGTTCAGTTTCCATAGTCACGTGGCCAGTGCGTCTTAGACACAGAACGCTGTCACCTTCCCACCGAGGTGGTACCTATTTATCTACTTGCATTTCTACATGCTTTTGAACGGCTAAGTTGGCAGGAGCTGGGACAAGCAACGGAAGCTAACTCCGTCACGTGGATTCGATCTTACGACTGCTGGTCTTCCAACCTTGGAGCACAGAGGCTTCTGCGGTTTAACCCACGTGACAGGAAAAGATAATGACCTCCAAACAAGCAAAAAGCAAAGCAGAAAAAAAACCCAGTCCAGATTACCTGCATTTTTGGACCTGAGAATACATCAAAAGAGATGACAGAAGGGTCATTATGCTGTTTGTGGACGCTGTCAGGTCATCAAGATCCAGGAGTGCATCCCATAATATGTTAAGAATAAAGGGTACCTTAAATATAGGCACAGGGATAAAAAATAAATAAGATCATATTATTTTAATGAAACTTGGACATCAAATGCTCATTCAATTAAGAACATCAAATGTCAGTATATCCTACTAACTTTCTCTGGCTGAAGGCGGACAAGACTTTCTACTACTGGTACTAAGGAAGCTGCGCCAACTGCTCTGACATCATCATCCAGATCTTGCAAACCTTCTATTATTGCAGGCAAGACTTTGGGCAATAAAGTATCAATTAAATCCTGCAAAAAAGAAGAATTATAAAATTTCAATTCAAAGTGTAAAGCACATCATAAGTCTACACAGAGATATTTTTTGCATTTTTTAAGTACAGTGGTGCCTCGCACAGCGAGGTTAATCCGTTCCGGATTAACCCTCGCTGAGTGAAAACATCTCTGTACGGATCAAAAAAAGCCATTGGAACGCATTAAACTTAGTTTAATGCATTCCAATAGCAGCTTTACTCACCGTACAGCGATGTTTCTCCGATGGCCGGCAGCCATTTTCGCGCCCTCCCCTCGCTTAACAAGCGCGCGAAAACGCTGTGCGCAGCCATTTTGAAGCCACCGAACAGCTGTTTGGTGGGTCGCAAAGCGAAGGTCGGTAAGCAAACTGCTTACCGACCTTCGCTCTGCGATTTTGAGCCATAGGGGCCGTCGGTGTGCGATTGCATTTGTTGTGCGGATTCGTCGTTCTACAGTGCACTCGTTGTGCGAAGCACCACTGTATAAAGATCCTATATCATCTTTCTATATTTTATTAAGATTATATCTAATAGTGAAATTCTTTAATTGAGCTTTTAATTTGTTTGGAAATAAACAGTCTCACTCCAGAATAAGGTTTCTACATCAAGTAGCTATTTAGGTCAGAAGAGCCTTTTTGGCCTGAAGGCCAGAGTTGGTGTTAGTCAGAGAGGAAAAGGACACACAGAAACAGTCACACACATGCAGACATCCACATCTGAACACACATCCTAGAACACACACAATTCCCTAACAAATGTATCATAGCCTACAACCATGAGATTACTTGCATCTCCTTTTTTGGTTGGGAGTTACTGTGAGATAATCCATGTGGAAGGAGAAAATCATGAACATGGCATTGTCCAACCCAACTCATTTCAACAGGCATAAACTGTAAATAGGACTGGTCCAAGATTCCCTCTAGCATGGAAAGAAAACCCCGCTTACCAGTCTCATCTCCAAGCTACTAATAAACGGACGAGGGTGGAGAAGACAATAATAGAGAAAAACGAGCACCCAAAGAGCAACAGAACAGAAAGAAGGAAGATGCCACATTAGCAAGCATGTCAGAAGTAAGTTCTCTTCTGGGCAAGGAAGTCCTTGTTCCACTACATAAAATAGAAGTCTCATAGCAAGTCCCAACATTCTTTTTTCATGTAGTGGAGCAGGCTTTCCCTGAACCTAGGAACGTATCAAAGGTAACCATAATCCTAGGGAGGGATAACCCAGTGACACCTACTCCAGGAATGACAATCTAATGGGAAAGTACTCTATGGTGCATTTCTATGCTGGCCCACTACTTGTTGTAGTGCTCTCCTTCTAAGTCAGGGGTATCAAACTCAATTTACCTGGGGGCCACTGGAGGCAGAGTCTGGGTGAGGCTGGGCCGCATCCGATTCTCCGCCAAGCGGAGCAAGAGCCCGAGGAAGCCACCCAGGAGTTTCCTTAGCCGGCAGACAGGCTGGCTGGCAGGCTGCAGTTCCAGATGGAGGGTGCAAGAGGCGCTGTCTTGGGAGAGAGTTGGCGAGTGAGGCTAGGCTTTTTTTTTCTCTTGACAGCAGTGGACACGTGGGCGCTTCGGGGGGGCAGGCAAGGCGGGGGCCGCAAATGGCTCCCGGGCCGCATGTTTGAGACCCCTGTTCTAAGTGAAGCCTCTACTAAGGTGGACAATCAGACCCTCTACAAAGCAGTCCTGAATATATCCTTAAGGGAAGTGCTAGTATCAAAGATGGTGGGAGTAGCTGTATTCCTGTTGGAATGAGCTGTAACTCCTCTAGGCAATTTCATCCCAGCACACTCAGCACATATGATACATGCTTCCAATTATATGGCTAGTGTTGATTTAGATACTTCTTTGCTCATGGCAGCAAAAACAAATAAAGCCCAACATTCTAAAATGTCTTACAGTCTTCAAATATTTTTAGCAGTTTTCTAATGGCCACTCTGTTCCAATCTCATTGTGATAGTCAGAATGGCTGAAGACAAAATGAGGGTAAAATGATCTCTTGAGATTGATGAAAGGAAGAATTTTAGGAATGCACAATCCAGTCTCAACATTAACAGTGTCCACTTGAATGACACGTAGTTCAGGTCACACTGAAAGGATATTCAGCTCTGAAACTCTATGGGCAGGAGTTGCAGCCACCAAAAATGGCTACTTCCAACAAGGGTATCTCAATGATGCTTGTCTTACAGGTTTGAGTGGAATTTTAATTAAGGCTCACAGAATGCTGTGAAGGTCTGAGGCTACCTATATATGGTGAGAGGATACATAAGAAAAATTCCTCTGAAGAAAATTTTGATAAATGGATGAGTGCTCAAAAATGTCTCTGCTGTACTGAAAAGAACAGAAGGCTGCCACCTGTCTCTTAAGAGCAGTGGATCTGAGTTCTTTGTTGGTCCTCTCCCACAGGAAACACAAAAGAAAGCGAATAGGTATTTTGACTGCCAATCAACTTTTTTCCGTGCAGCATCACTGGAACACTTGCTAAGAAATGTCATAAATATGGTTCATGAAGGCTCTATGGCAAATACCCTTTTTGCTGAAGTTTTGTGCATTCAGCTGCCAACTATCAAGTTATAACTAGTGTCTTTCCCACTGTTTGGAATCTGAAGAAAATATGCTCATCTGACGGTTGATTGGTGGCATGAAGAAGTCAACTTACTGAATTCTTAGCCTTGTTGTGTTCATGTGGAACACCCTGGTAGAAACATTTCATTTGTCACTGCCAAGGTTGGCATGGCTCAATCTGCCTGTGTTTTCAGCCATTCAGATATTCCCTAGACACACACTTCTACAGAGAACACAGGACTGTGCCTATGACATGAATAGATCTGTTCATAACAGGAACATGCTCTCTTCTTAGTAATTCAGATGTGCTTTTATATGCACTCTTATATCTTTGCTCTGTATTTGAATGTGAAAAGTGAAAACAGCCAGTCTGACTGCTCTCAATTCCTTCAAAGAGTGAGGATGTTTTCTATGACCACTTGCCATTTCGGAGTGTAGATGCACCCGAAGTCCTATAGGCTGACATCAGTAATTTTCTGAACTCTTAAGTGGGGAGGGGGAGAGGAATTTCCTTCCTATTGCTATTTCTCTATTTAGCTGCCAGTGTAACTGCTTGATCTCCTGTGCCATTCCAGCAACATGGCAGTAGTCATTGCAGTGGTTAGGAATAAAACCTTGCCCACAGCATGCAGTCTATGACTATAACCATTGTCCTCTGCAGATGCACCAAATCATTAGATGTACTATCAGTTTGGTCAGGACTTTGCATGCCACAGTGTAAAGCTGATTGAGTGGGAGTAACACCTCCCCTAAACTGTAGCTATGATCCACAGATGCTAATAGACTCAGAAGGCAGCAAGTGCTTCTTTGAACATTAACCAGAAAGCCACAGGTTTGTTATGTCTCCAGTGTTGGCTGGATATTTCTTATTCTCATTCCTTGGTTTTTGGTCCTTCACCTAATAAAAAGGTTGTCTAGGTAAAGATAAATGTAAATATGCCCTGTTATTCTTAGGTGGACTACCAGTGTTATTAGCATCTCTGTAAAGGCCTATAATGAAGGGGATAGCCTCAATGTATGGGTTGTGTGTTTGTAGCAAATTCCTTAGTAGACAAATTATAAAAATTATCTGTGATCTGTGCCAGCAGATATGTGCGGGAGGGCCTGTATCAAACTGAGAGATGCTAGGAGATGTCTTAGTTGCAAGGTTTCCAAGACTGACTGAAGCATTTACATCCAAAATGTGTCTCTCCATGCAACGTTCCTTCTAATTTTCTGTCCTGCAGCATGGGAACCTTGCTCCATGGGAGCAGGGCTTCATTTGAAATGGGAAGTAAACTGGCTGCCAGACCATGAACAGCCCTGATGGAGCTCTGGGCAAGTGTGCATGCAGCTTAGAGGGAACGTTGTCTCCATACAAACCTGCTTACCCTTTTCAGACCCAGCATTGGCTTCCATTAAAAGGTATAACATTTAGGACAGCATCTGTTGTGCAGGCTGTTGCTTTGAACATCTGATTTATTCCCCGTCTGAGCCAACATTACTCTGTGGTAATAGATACAAAAACTCCCAGCCCATAAAAGGGAAGCCAGGTGATAATGGATGCTGCTATTGCTACCCTGATAGTTATAAGGACCCACACATTTTTCTTAACATGGAGTCTGTCTCCTGATTTTTCAGAGTATCTCCCGGATCCTTGGTATACATAGAAAAAGAGTCCAGGTAGCCACCGGAGTGCCCACCTGTAGACAACTGTGTGTAGTAGATTACAAACTTCTTAAACCTGAGATGATAAAGGTTCATACGATGCAAGTTTTCTCCACTCTTGTTTACCAAGCTAAACAATTTATTTGAAAAAAGTAAGTCTGTCACTTGAGGCACTTGTCTTTTTCAAAGCTTCCCCTCAACACTTGGGGGAGATGTAAATCTGGATCTGGGACTGGGCTGGACTTTTCAGATCATATTATATCCAGAACCTTCTTAAACAATAATCCAAACATTTTGATGTTAAACAGCATAGAGGAGGTGGGGTTGACCAGTCTCCTTTGCTTATTCCTCAGCTGCATCACTTGTGCTTATGAAAGATGAGGTAAGAATACAAAACTTCCCTTTCATCATCATCCTCTGACAGATGTATGAGAGAGAAAGTGGGCAATTGTTTTGTTTTTTGGTTGCTTGCTGCCTGAGAGGTGAGAATACAAAACTTCCCTTTCATCATCAACCTCTGACAGATGTATGAGAGAGGAAGTGGGCAATAGGGCCCTGTGGTCAGCGACTTTGTTTTGTTTTTTGGTTGCTTGCTGCCTGCTTTGTTTGAGGACTTTAAGCAGTGGTGAATGTGAAAAGGACAACTCCCTTGTCTTCCTTCTCAAAACTGAAGATGGTAGCTCTGAAAAAGAACTCTATTTTTGTTGTTGTTGTTTGAGAGTACAGAAGTGTTCATTCCAAGCTCTATGAGGATGGTCTTCTACATCATATTCTTTTATGGCTTCAAATGCTTGAAGACCTAAATGGCATGATGGAGGTAGAGGTTGGGTGCTGCATGTCTCACTGGTATGTCGGAGTGATTTTTCAGCAATTCCTATTTCTCTGGGTTACTGTTGCATCTCCCACTTCCCACACAACCAGCATTTTTATCCAGTTAATGAACTCTGAGTGCAGGAACTTCTTTAATCTCATTTGGGTCTTACCAGCAGGTTGCTCAGGGGACAGTAACACAACAGATTGAAGGAAAAATAGACAAAAAGATGAGAAAATAGACTTTTTTGTTTGTTAATTTAGATAAGTAGAGGTAGTGAAAAACAATAAAGCAAAGATGAACAAAGAGACAACTATGTAAAGCAGAGGCAGGAAACAGTCTAATAAGCCAGTTTCCTCCCACACTAAAGGGAACTCCAGACCAATCTGACTGGTTTACAATTCCTGTCTGTTAAACTTAGTATGAGGGACAACTGAATGTTCAGGATATCCTGCTCTGCTACATAAAATATGACTATAGAGACAAAACCTACTATCACCCCAGTAATTGTCACTGACACAGCCTTTTCTCCACAGCTACTAGAGATGGGAAAATGGCATTATTAGAAATAGGATAATCTCCCATGCGATAGAAATCATGGAACAATGCCACTTGAAACAAGATTAAAACTAATACCTGACGAACAGCCAAAGCATATTTTATTCCTAGCAGACCACCATGTCTCACTTCCCACTGCTCTTGTGCAAGTAATTTCAGCAAGACAGCCACAGTTTTATGAACTCCGCTATCATTCATATATTTCAGCACTACTCCCAAAGTCTGAGCGCAAGTCTCTCTCACTGGTGCCACAACCTGAAATTCAAGAAAAAAAAAACCCCTTAACGGAACAGTACACACTCAAATGTTAACTAATAACAATAAGCCTTCTTGATACTTACTTCATCTGAAACAAAATCACCAAATCTGTCTAAAGCAAACACACAAAGAAGTCTGATAGCCAGGTCCTCTAGCCAGTCCTGGTGTTGCTGAGTCATCTGTGAACAAACAATAAATTACAAATTAGCAGAATCCTAAAATATTCTTAATCTCCTTCTCTTTACAGCCTGTCAGAAAAACAAGTGTGCCCCACTGAACATGTGGAATTAAAGCAAAAATAATGTTACACATTTTGTACAGCAGAGCGAAAAACAGTGTCTATCTTAACACTGCACTGCAGCAGAATTTTTTGCTGAAAACCAATGACAATAGGGAAGACTTTTCTGGAAAAAGGTAGCTCTCTGTGGATTAAATATCTAATCTTTTGGTAGCAACTAGAAGAAACTACTCCATCTTCCCGACACAATTTAATCAGCCTTTCAAAACAGAACAGTTTGTACAACAAAGATATGACCCAACGTATGACTAGAAATCTATTGATGAGCAACCGCAGAGTTGCAGCTGATCTATACAGGCAACATTATGAACATGAAAAATCCAGAGGAAGTGGAGCAAGTAGTACCACTTTACCATGAAAATGAGAACTGCTTTTAACACCTTTCCATCTAAAAACAACCAAGCAAACAGGTTCTAGGTTTTAGGATAAATGTTTTTATGTGTTAACTTCCACCAGGAGGGCAGTCAGCTTTTAAAAATACATGTTCAAAGGAGAATATGAAAAAAGTGATGCTGTCTCCACTGGAAATCAAAGTTAATTCTTTCACTCCATTTTGCTGCATATTTAGAACCATATCCAGGTGTCATTTTATTTAAACATCACCACTGCTTTAGAAAACTCTAAGAAGTACTGCAAATTGATGTCGGTTTTTCAAAAGAGAAACCATTTCTGTGCCAGTCAAATTACAGTTCAAGTTACACTGGGTAATATATTAAGATCATAATACTGTTATACTTAACAGTATAAGGGACAGAAAAAGAGAACAGGAAGATTATATGACTGCAAAATAATGTTTATAATATATAAGTAGCATAAAAACGATGGAAATCATTAGTATTCTACTTCATTTAACAATCTCCCTTACTACTTCCATTTTTTAATGTGGGAGCAACTGAAAACTCTGCACTACAACTAAACATACACATGCAGACTCAGCACTATCTAGGGATGCAGTTACCTCTTCTATGGTGCTGTCTTCTATTTTACCTCCACTCTTCCCATGTGCTTTAAGTACCTCTCGCAGTCCAATGCCTGCACCATGCCGAATCTAAGAGATTGCAAAAAATGAAAAACAAAACAAAAAGATTCTGGAGATTTAAGATCAAGAGCTTTCATGGTTCACAAACATCTCTGGATAGCCAATCATAGCTTACTACAATGTCCCGAAATTACCTCTGGGAATCATTTGCTTCCAAACCAGAGTTCACCTGGTAAAGAGGTGATTTTTTTTTCCACTTAAAACTCTCAGGTGAAAACTCAATTGCTGGCAGAATTAAAACTACAGTATTTCACAGATATCATTATTACCTTCTCTAGTGACATGAGTTGGTAATTAGCATTTAGAGAAGGGGTAGTGTGGGCGGCATATAAGTTAAATAAATAAATAAATAAAAACCACAGTGCATTCCCAACAGCTTAACAAGCGTTTGTGGTTTATTTATTTATTTATTTTATTTATATCTCGCCTATCTAGTCGATTAAGACCACTCTACGCGGCTTGCAACAATAATATGAAAATGTAAATAAAAACAATTTTAAAATAAGGGGAGAACTTTAGACAAATGGGACAGACACTAGAAAAGGTAAGAAAGGGAAAGTCAGGGATTGGCTGAGGGGAAGGCCTGCTGAAACATCAGTGTTTTCAGTTGGTTTTTAAAAATACCCAGCGAGGGAGCCGCGCGGATATCAGGTGGTAAGTTATTCCAGAGGCGAGGAGCCACCGCCAAGAGACTGACGAAATGTCAGGAAGATCAACCTTCAGAAAACGGCCAAAGAGCTCGAAAAACCCACAACCATTATATGCAATGTGTGAACATCAAGTTACTCACAGACTGTCAGATTTTTGCACAAGTTAAGTATACCTTAATTATTGTTTTATTACAGGCAATACAAACAGACTAACTACATTGAAAACAATATGGCTATAAAAACTGAACCACACACAATCTTGTAATAATGACAAGAGTTACAAAGTATTTATTCCTTTTAATATCATATAAGAGAGTGAAAGCCAGCTTTACCTCCCATGCTGGGTTAAAAAGGTCATTGCACACTTCTTCACAAAAACTTTCTAGAGGCCATTCATTGGTCTAAAAGGGACAAAAACACAGTTGATCATGATTTACTTAGTTACTCTGCCAATTTCTTTTTAAACTGTACTTAATTACACATTAGTATTCTGAATCCTGATACTAAGGCTATTCCAGACGAAAACAAGGAAAATTTTGAATTGTTAATCGAAAGGCATAGGACATATAAAACATTTAGTCAACACTTGCATGTTCAAAATTGAGTCTGAAACCCATAATTTTGCTTTTCTCTTGAGCCTCATCCTCTCCCCTTCACTCTTAAACATGTTGCCTGCTAATTGTTATAGTTCAGCCTTATACTTTGCTATTTTCTCTTTAGAGGATTCCATTTTCTGCAAATCTGCATATACCAGCTACTCACATTCAAATTCCACTGATTTTAACAGAAATATGCAATTATGGTTCAACTGCAATATAAATCTTTGGTAACTGAACCCTCCCAGTAGTATCACCACAGTATACTGGACTTATCCTTGACACTGATTCTTCTAATACAAATACTTGAAATATACAATTTCCAGAAAAAATTGTTTTCATATAGATTAAGTTTTTATTTTAAAGCATCACTGTTTCCAATTCTAGCCAAATGTCCTGGACATCAATTCTCTCTTACTTTATGAAAGCTGTTTCTAGAAACAAGTATTCCAGAACTGAGTATTAACTAGAAATGATCCAGTTAATACTAACTACTACAAAAAAGGGTTTTGCAATATTTCTCAGTCTGACTGCTTCATGGTTTTTGCAATCCTTCCTTCTGAATATATGAAAACAAAATGTCCTTGAACACTTGCAAACAAAGATCAGAAGGTGAGTGGAATTCATATTCCCTTCTTTGTGACCCCATGGACCAGAGCACACCAGGCCCTCCTGTCTTCCACTGCCTCCCGGAGTTGGGTCAAATTCATGTTGGTAGCTTCGGTGACACTGTCGAACCATTTCATCCTCTGTTGTCCTCTTCTCCATTTGCCAAGAAACAGAAACAAAAGGAGACCACAGCAAAAGGGAATATGAACCCATGCCCACATTCTGAACTTACCTTCAATTAAAATTAGGCATTTCAAGTGGGTAAAAGCTGTCTTCCAAATTTCAACAACCTGGAACTCGCTTCTACCATCACTTTAAATCCCAATGATTTCATCAGCAGAAACACCAGGAATATAATTCACCAACTCAATCAATAGATTTAATTATTTCAAGTTGGATTAATTTATTACTCACTTAGGTTGGATTGTGTTCTCAGTTTAATATGCCATGACTCTATACCATACCTCATCTGGAGTATTCTCAACCAAAAGTCTGGAGTCAGTCACAGGTTGATTCAGGATAACATTTGCCATTTTCCTTCTTTTTTCTTCTGGCTCACCATCAGCACTATCATTGCTGCAAAAGAATATTAAATATTTGTGAAGTGTCATGTCATACCACTTAATAGAGCAGCTATTTATCATTCACTGTATATTTCAAAAAGGAATAGTACTAGAATCAACACTGATCATATTAAACAAAAGCACATTAACTTCTTTACGACTATCAAATCATGCAAAGTAAATAATGAATGTTGGAAATGCAGACATATATGGTAGATATCCTATTTATTGAGAATGCCCCAGGATCAGAAGTTTCCAAAGGATTCTTTCTGAAAATGTAAGAGATGACAGGTGATGATTTACCATTATATCCCTCAATGACAGTTTTATTACAGGAAATCGAATGTTCTACTAGCAGATAGTGGAATGATGATTTTCCTTTTATTGGCTGCTAGGATAGCTATAAATCATACATGGAAACCAAGGGATATACTCTTTCTAAGTGAATAGATATGAAATTGTGTGGGATACAGATAACTAGTCATTAAGGTGAGAGAAAGTAACCATACTGAAAATTGCTAAGGCCCTTTCAATCATTAAAACGCACCAGAACAATGAGGTTCACTAGAGTTTGCTAATACATAATACAGAACTACTGAAAAAAGAATACATGGGATTGCTACTCTGTCTTCAAAGTAGAAGCTACAAGTAAATATTGCTAGTATGAAGTACTTCATAGCTCTTTAAGGTCTAAAAACCAGATAATTTCATTCCATTCTTCTACTATGACAGCAACCAGTTAGTCAGCCAGCATTCCATGGCCCTCACTGGGAGATATGTCTGTATCTATGTGGGACAGGTCCTTAGGATGTATTTTTCTTTTTGACATTTTTCATACTTCTGGTATTTTTATCCAGGCTAGGAAACAGAAATATTTTCTTGTGTTTCTACAATATCTTTCAGTGCCCAGCACTTAAACAAGACAAATAATTTTCAACACTTACAGTACCTTTTCTCATTGGTTTCCACTGCATCTCTTGATCTCTGCTTTGCAAACAGTTTGGCCATTCGTTTAGCCTTATTCTTTTGCCTGCTACTCATGCCTGCTCGAAATTCTGAATCAATCAATTCAGCAGCTGGAAGAGTCTGAATACAAGAAAAATTTAGTAGCTTGTCTGGCTTAGATCTAGAGAAGCATGACCAGAGTTCTATTTATGCACAACAGCTTCTTTGCCTCCTCCCTTCCTGCTGCAACCTCCTGTGCTCCCAGCCAATCTTAGACTCCTAAATAATAAAAAGCACTCTGGAAAGACTGTGACATGCAGCTAGTTAAGTGAAAGAAGTCAAGGGCCATCTTTGTGCAAAACATAAATCCCTGCTGTCTTGGCTAGGGCTTTCTGATTCAGCCACCCACAGTTTAAGAAAGGCTTGAAATCTCTGTATCGTAAGTTTCATGCCATTTCTAACTAGAATTCTTTCAATGTTTTACAGATATGTACAGCATGTTACTACATATTTTCAAAAAACTGCTTATATAAATACAGTATACTTTAAAATGGCAGAAGAGCAAACAAATCAGACCGTAAAAAATATCTCCAGTCAAACTGCGTGAAGTTTTACCTACAGGTTGTTTGTGCACCAGAAGTGATGTAGCAGGAGTATAATCCAAATCCTCATCGTTAAACAGGTCTTCTGTATCCATTCCTATTGCAGCACCCATATCAAGGCCAAGCTTCTTTTGGAGCAATTTCCTCTGTCGTGCAATCCGTTCTTTGGGATCCACGTCACCTTCAAAGTGAAACAGACAAAGCTGTTAAAGCCGTATTTAATAATAATAATTTATTATAATCAATGACCAGGAATATAAGAATACATTATTTAGATAAAATTACACAATATCAGAGACAATGCTCTATCGTTCCCAATTATTTGCATATTCCAATCTGCAACCCCCTTGAGTTTGTCCAGTTCAAATTTCTGCGAGTTCTACTGGCAGTGCCTCCTTTTGTCCCTAACACAGCTCTACGCCTAGAGGTAGGTTTAGTCTCCATCAGAGTGCATGCTAAGGTCTACATGTTCAATCACTGGCTAAAGCTTTATCTTCTTCCCACACAATTTGGCACCATTGACTCCGACACCTTCCAATCGGAATGAAAGTGTCACCCGACAAAGTTCTGCAAATTGGTCTTTCCCCAAATATCCTTATAGTGATGGGTTATGCCAATGCCAAATCAGCTGTCAAGCAAAGGATCTGGGACACACAACTTTAAGAACATTTAGGTTCACTGTACAAATCCAGTGCTGTAAAAACGCCTTTATACCTACCACCTATATGACAAGTATAACACCACCTAAATGTAGAAGAGCTTTTATCTCAGCCAGATTTAATGTGTTGCCTTCTAATCTCCTGGAAGGGAGATTTCAAGGCATACACTACTCTGATCGTTTATGTCCTTGTGACAGTGGTAAAGTAGAAACAGTGGAGCATGTCCTCTTATACTGTCATTGCTATTGAGATCTCTGCAAGGATCTTCTCTAACATATTTTTCTAAAATTTCCAGGGAGATCCAATGAATTTTATAGTCTTTTGATACTCTCCGATAAGGTTTCTTACGTTAGTAGTAAAGTGCCCAAATACCGCGCTGCTGCAATAGCTTGCTGCAGTGTCCTGACCACATAAGGTTTTCAAGCGCCCTGCCCTTGTTAAAGATTTCTTGTTTAATGTTCTAGGAGAGTTGGGGTAGCATACACATGGTTATATGTGTCTCCTAATTTCATCCTCTATCATGTGACTGCTGTGATGCTTTAAAAGCTTTTATATCCTTTAATGCCGCTAGCTAACTTGGAACTTTTTAACTTTAATGTTGTAAAAGAGCCAAATGCCGCTAGCTAACTTAGAACTTTTCAACTTTAATGTTGTAAAAGAGCCAGAGGATGTATTGATGGTGTCATGTCTTGACCAATGCCTCTAAAGCCATATTAGTCCTCTGCTAAATATAACCTAATGGCCAAAATTTTGTTGAACAGTTATGAAAAAGGTGTAATTTTTAGAGATATTTGCTGCAAGTTAGGAAATCTTTGTAAACCAGCTAACTTAGAACTTTTCAACTTTAATGTTGTAAAAGAGCCAGAGGATGTATTGATGGTGTCATGTCTTGACCAATGCCTCTAAAGCCATATTAGTCCTCTGCTAAATATAACCTAATGGCCAAAATTTTGTTGAACAGTTATGAAAAAGGTGTAATTTTTAGAGATATTTGCTGCAAGTTAGGAAATCTTTGTAAACCTCATCTGTTGTACACTGAGTAGCACGATTCAGTATGCAACAGATGTTTACAGCAATTTCTTAACTTACGGCAGTTTGCTTCCAAAAGTTACACTGTTTCTGTAATTGTGCAGCAGGACTTGTTCTCTATTTTTGCCAACCAGAGCATGCTGAGCAGAACTCTATTTGGTTTCTGCTGGCAGGAGAACGGCATTGGCATTAGTGTACATTGGCATATCAACTTCTAAATATAGTATTTGTTGTAACAGTTAATGACACTGCTTAATAGGCAACAGCCAGAATCCTACTTACAATGGCTTAAGTCCAACAGTACACATCTCAGCAGCAAATTGCCATTACTGTAGTTGAGATGCTGATGCTTGTATTTCTTTTCATACACTTTTTGTGTGACTTAGTGCAAAGAAAGAAACACAAACTGAAGCTTCTTAACTTGTGGAAATAAGCTGCTGAAATTTAATCCATTAAATTTACATAGGCGTAAGTAACAGCATTCTGACCAAAACTATATCTCTGCTTGGAAAGGGTCTGTTACACATTTCAATTATACACTGAAGATTTTCTCAGCTTTGAGAAGACATGTCTCACCAACTATAGATTGATATATGCTTCAATATAATCATGGGACTTAAATTGGACAACAGTAAAACTGCTGCTAAAATATGTTTACTTTTTGAAAGCACAGAATACTTTGTAGTGTATGGCTATGTCATGCACAAATATTTCATTTGCCTACTCACTGAACATAGAAATGTTTTGGCAAACATGATTAACTATGTATCCAAGTTAAGAGGATTTAATTAACTATTAACTTAATTATAGAATAGAACATGACATAAATACATAAAAGTGAAGACTATAAAGTTGTTTAATTATTTGAGAGAAAACAGAACATAGCATCAGGGCTGACTCTGTATTAGACAGAGATGACTGCCACAAGAAACAAAAGCTTGGGAGTAAAAAAAGCTGTTGGAGAGTGCTCCTTTCTACCCAGTGTTCCCCCCCCCATTGAACACAATTATGTACTATGTCACAGGATGTGTTTTAGGATACCTAAAATAGGCAGCTGCAGGTTTGCCATATCCTCATCTTGAAGGAGCATTGGAGAGCTCTGGTTATTCACTTCCTGCTTATCAGAAACAAGTTGGAAGCACAACCCATCTGTTCATAACGTCTTCTTGTACTACAGGGAAATAGCCAGTTGTATAATATGCAGTGCAGAATACTGGCTGACAAAGCAGCATTGCATTAAAATCCAGCCCTTAGCTGAGTCACTGAGGCAGCACCATACTCTCCTTTGAGAAAAGCAGCAAAATGTTTTGGGATAGCTCTAAATGCTACTATAGTTAATGAAAACAATGGCTAGCATCTTAACATTTTATATAGCCTGCTATGGTCAATTGACAAGATGCTAGAATGTGTCTGAGTAGTGTCCATTCAACTGTTTGACTGTGCACATAAGGCTGCCCTGGCGCTTGTCATTTGGCCACAGAGTCACAGAAAGTTACACAACTCTTAAGCAAACACCAGTAAGATTTTGTGCATACACATATACAACAGTTTAGGAGCAATTACCAGATGTGTCATCTTGAACCTCAAATTCTGCACCAGCAGATCCAAGTAGAGAAGCACCATGTTTTAAAAGTTGGCAGATATCAAATCTGTCAAAATGCAACCGATCAGAAGCAGATGACTCTTCTAGTGGGCTTTCACAGCTGCGTTCTATATAAAGAATAATGTAGACTGAAATTAGTGCTAAAAAGGAAACTGTTCATGAATACAATCTGAAGGTCTTCCATCTTAGTGTTGAAGCACCAGCTGATCAAATCATGTTTTTTAAAAAGAAACATTCTGCTCATTCCTTACTTCTCTATTAACAATCAATCAAGCATACAGGACAACACAAGCAATGTTGCATAATATTTTTAGAAACATGGATGCATAGAAAGGGTACTTTTAAGAAGTGCACTTCACAATATTTTTACACATTCATCTGATTAAAGCACCTTGTTTCACCCTTGGAGCTGGGTTCCATTCTGGTACATTTTTCACTATTGCTTCCACCGCTTGTCCAGCTGCAATGCGGGTATCCCAGTTTGTACTCCTTAAGTGTACCAATACCTTTAAGAAATCCAAAAATTAGTTTCCTAGTATTCAGTAGCCATTCTGTATAATGCTCAAGAAAATATACAGTACAGGTGAACTTAACAGTTAAAAAACATGAACTTTATGAAGTAAACATTTTTGTAAAATATGAAGATAAAAATTGTTTAATCAATAACAATTTAAGCAATACTTTACTTCTACTATATTTTCAAAATGTAGACACATTAAGCTATGCTTTTTCCTGACAGCGATGTATATGCGAAGTTGCTCAAAAAGGATCCCAGATTAACTGACAATTTAACTGTTATTTTTACTGGTTGTTGTGGGTTTTTCGGGCTTCTTGGCCGTGTTCTGAAGGTGGTTTTTCCTAACGTTTCGCCAGTCTCTGTGGCCAGCATCGTCAGAGGACAGCAAACTGTGCTCTGTTATTTTTACATTTAAAAAAAGTACAACAGCGTAAGACTTCTATATTTCACCTAATCAGCCATGTTAATACAATCTGTTTTTCTACAGTAGATAGTCTATATTCAGTCATGTCTTGAGCCTTTCACAAGAACCTTTCACATTCACGTTGTATGCTGGCATACAACCTGAAAAAGTCATATGAGATGGAAGTCTACAAGTATGGTCAGCCCCCTTTTGCAATCACTTATGGGGTAACAACGTCATAGAAGGAACCACTGATTGTATTCCACAAGAGCTTAAACAGTTCTGCTGATTTCCATTGACTGAACTGTTTCAGGGCTAGTATCACAGCAAATACATTAAATATGAATTTGCAAGACAGAGTTATATGCTGTCTAAAAATATGCCCCAGTATTCTCTCTACTTCTACCACTCATTACACAGTCTACTTAGAAATTGTGCCAGAGGGTATTCACTGTTTGCAAAAGCTCCCAATGTTTTAAACAGGATGACTTCTGCTTGTACTCCAGCAGCGAGAAGCTCTGCAGGTGGAGTATTTCACTCTACATAGGCCCATATCCTGTTTGGTTTATCTATAGTACATAAATTTGTGAAAGGATCTGTTAAATACACAAGGAGATTTTTCAGGCAGCACTTCTTTAGTTGAAACTATAACAAACTGGATTGAAGATTCACAAAAATTATTTTAACTCATTTTTTTTACTAACTAGGAATAACTTTGCTATGCTATTTGTTAAAACATCCAAAATACTTACTTTAGCCAAGAGATTGTTCAGTTCATGTGGATGAAGTTTCACAACCTCCCCAAGCTGTTGTGCAGCTGCTTTCCTTGTTACTGGAGTTGTGCCAGTGTCAAGTAAGATAAAGAGCCGATCGAGCCTAGAATGAATGACAAAATTCAAATTAAAATAAACCAGTAACTGAAGAGGTATTTTGCATCTGTACTTATTTGAGACTATTTGCAAGATGTTAATAATTACATGACTACAACTACTTCTGTTTCAATTTTTTTACTGGCTTATTGAAGCATGTTGTACTGACTATATTTCACAGTAGCTTAAATTAGGAAGTTACTAAGAAATAGACCAAGGAGATAGTTTCAGACAAAGAATTGAATTTGCTCACACAAAATCTTCTAGGGATTGCATGCCAGCACTGAGCACTGCCAGGGAAACATTTTTTCTCTCTCTCTCTCTTATTCCCATTCCCCACAATGTTGGTAAGGTATATGGAATGGAAGGGTTGCCTCAGCCCTTCCATCCTAGCTGTTGGTCCCTGAAAAAAACACTAGCCCATGCAAAAGCAGGCTGGGAGAAAGAAAAAGCTCCCATTTGAGCACATTCAAAGTCTAACTGCGACTTGGGATGAGGGCGAGTGAGGTGGCAGTAGATTCAAATGCTCCACAGGAATCTCCACACCAGGAACAGATAAACCAATTGGGTTCCACCACTTCTTTCTCTCTAATGGTACTTTCTAAAAGACATTAACTAAATTTTTAAAAGCATCTAGACTGACTTATAGCACGACCTGTCTTTCACAAATTTTTACATATTTCTACAAGCAGAACATCTTTACGCTTAGTAGTATAAATCAAAATCTGCAGAAATTAAAATCTCCCTGAGAGAGGTTACCAGTATGATACTTCACAGAGCAAGTACCATATGGTACATCTCATGTGCTTTACATTATACTAATCTCTACAAAGTCATTTTACCATAGTAAGTATACTTCATGACTGTGTAATCACAATATCAGACTCAAACTACAGCCAATCCTACCTTGATCCATGGGGTTCTTATTTTAATGTGCTTATTTTATTAAATAACAAGACACTGTATTGAAATAAAGTCTCTTCCAGATTTGCATGGTATTATCCATTTTAAACAGTGGCTATTGTGCAATAGAGGACAGAAATAGTTAACAGTCCTGAAAAATGGTTTTCTACATGCAAATCCTGTGGCTCTACCCACTGAGCTATGCCTCTCCTCTGAAAGGTACTGGAGAAAATACAGAGACAAGAAAAAGCAAGACATATAGTTGCGCTCAGTTTTCTACTGTGATTTTAAATGAAGTAATGTTAATCAATTATTACTTTATTTAATTAATTAATTTAAAAAAGTAATAATTAATTTTTTACCTTGCCTGTCTAGTGGCCAGGCCACTACTCTGGGCAGCTTAGAGAAAAGCAAACCCCGTTTCCAATCTCAATTTAGAGAATACTAGTCGTAGGGATTATATATTTTTTTAAATTGAAGCATTACAACTAATGTCCAATCCACTTTGAAGTCTGAGTCCCACTGCAATCTCGGTGATATCATAAAACGACCTAAGTAGCCACTTCAAATCTGCCACTGCCAAGTCATGCTCTATTTCCTTCCCTGGTGTAGCAGAAATAAAGAATATATCTTAATGAGACGGACTGGTACTGGGTCTCATTGCATCTTAGATCACTACCAGAGCACTACGTATCCTAACAACTAGGGGCCCATCCTAATGATTTAAACCTCAGTAAACTATATGCTTCAGAGATCTTGACATACTTTACTGCATTTGGAGTGGCAGGATCAACATGAATGAATGCAACATTAAAACCCCTTTTCACCACCACCATCAGGTAAGTATGAATGCGAAAGAGAAGTGCAGCATTAAAAAAGATTGGTGATAGGGTATTATGTTCAACAAGATGCTACCTCACCTATATCAGAATATTCTCATTAAGGAATCATTTCAGCAGATACTGTAGTTAAAACCACATTTGTACAGACTATATGAGCCATGAAGTATAGCTCCCATGCAGCATCTGAAGTGATAGTGGAATGGTTCTATAGCAGTATGTACAAAGTTACTTCATGGTTTTAAGTTGCTTTCAGAACTTCCAATGATAAATCTAAGTACAGTAGGAACCACTGTGTATGCATCACTAAATAATCATAAGATCCTGTGCCAGAGCATAGAAGTAACAAAGAAAAAGGAAAAACAGTTCACCAACAAGACTCACAAACAATGGCTAAAATGTTTTAAGGCAAATAACCTTGATCTCTTTTACAAATTTCCATTTTTGGATCACTCTGCCTGCAAGGTGTTAAATGTTATGGTCTCCTGTCTGTCTTGTTGAAATGGCTGCACACAGACTGTGACTTTTTCACTCCTCTTTCTCATTCAATCCCACTAATTTCAATGGCCAAAATTAAATCAAGAAAAAAACACATGCAGAACAGCAATTGCACAATGTTTTCCCTCTTTCAGCTGGATGCCCTCTGCATGATTAGTTACACTCAATTTTGCTTTACCAAGACACACAAAGTACAGTGTGCTGAACAAAGGCAACCATCCTACTGTGATTATGGAGATGAAAAGAATTCTGGCTAATGGGATCAATCCATGAACAAAATTCCAAGACTGAATTTCAGTTTCAAGTTCAGAATTCTGTTTGGGAATGCCATCATGTGAGCAAAAATTATGTTATATGTTGTCAAGCAACACTTCTGTAGAACTTTCAAGGTATGCGAGATACTTGAGTGGTTTTATAAGTGCCACACCCTCAGTGAGTATCCATGGCCAAATGGGGACTTTAACCCAGATCTCCTAAGCCCTAGTCCCCAACTCTCTACACTACACTGGCTCTCAGTAATAAGCACAAATATCTTACCTATATTTAGAATATAGGTAAGTAATAGTTCTTTACCTATAATCAGAATAAAAATGCAACTTTAAGATATCCTGACTCTGCAGTGATAAGTGACAGAAGTGATGTGTGGACAATGAACTATATACAAGTTGTTTTATTTCTTGATAGATTCAATAAGCACAATTTATGTTTTCAAATTTATATATTATAATCTATGAAATTTAGGTAAATTTTATAAATTTTCTACCAGTTCTGAAACTGATCAATATGCCCATAGGATTACTCTATTGCTGTGCCTCATGTGATAAAAGCCAGCCTGTCCTGCACATTTCCAGGACACCCTCAGAAGAAGGGAATGGTAAATCATTTCTATGTAGTCTCTACCTTGAAAACCCTGGAAATACATACATAGAGGATGAGATAAAATCTCACCTGAGTTTTTTATTGTTGCCAAACTAAGACTATACGGTACAACCATTTACCATTTTAAGTGGTACCTAAATTGTCATAACAAATGAAGCACTACAGTAAATGTTAATCATTCCTGATTAAGATTTCTATTTAGTAGAAGACGGCAGTTATAAATGTTTTGATTTTTTCAACATAGAATGCTTCCTCTTCCCTACTTCTACTCTTTTCCTTTTTTGTCATATCCTCAAGATTGTACATCTGAAAGTAGGGCTCTCTTAATTTCAAATTCTTGTATACCACATAGGCAAATTTAAGTACTTTATAACTAGGTAGCAAAAGTCTTCAGCTACAATGCTTTGCATGTTTAGTCACAAGTAGTAACAAGTTAAGGATGTGAGAAGTAACTGTGTACAGATTTTCATTCCTGTCATTTATTACCTAGCACTACAATACAGTGGTGCTTTGACTTACGAACTTAATTGGTTCCAGAACTCCGGTTGCAACTCGAATTGGTCATAAGTCGAAGCACCACTAAAATATGTAATGCAATTAGCCAGCTTTCAAACACTCCATTCTTATTAGTATGAACACTGACTTAAACTACTTGCTAATATCAACATCTGTATGAAGCAGAAACTCAATGTATGAAACTACAACTTGAGAATGCTAAAACTGGTATTACAGTTAATTTCCAAAAGATTAATTTTGAGTGATGTCCTCACTTTCTGCCTTTATTGAAGTTAACTTATTGGCCTAGATAAGCCAATATTGTACACTTCAGCTTTTCACATATATCTCAGGATGGTATGGAGTTATTAGGAAAGGCAGGTGTGCAGCAGCCAGCAATGGATCTCTAAGATCTTTTACACAGCCTCCCAGAAAAACTTGAAGATGTTAAAAACTGAACCTGAGACCTTCTACATACAAAGCATTTACTTCATTGACCTGGAGTTCCCAAATTTGTTACACTGGAATACTGAAATAAACCATAGCATAGCAATTACCCAAAAAGAAAAATGATACTACTGAAAGTAGATAAGAAAATAATTGGTGACATATGCTCATTAACTATACTGTATAAGCTAATGCAGCATAAGGAAATCATGTTTTACTTTATATGTTTAGAAAGAATGTTTTTACTTCTTTAAGGAAGAGGAACAATTGTGGTATAGCACTGTTGTTAAACAGAAAACAACTTAAATCAAATAAATGTCCTTACTTAGATATCAAGAGCAGTCTTATATCTCACTTTCAGCATGTCACAATAAATTAACAGCTTCTCAAGCATGTGCGTTCAGATGTTAAATATTTCCATAGTTAGTGAAACTTAGTTCTCTAATAACAATGCTTAGGATTACAGCATATTTCTTTTGACAAGCACACCAAGATCATGAAATCCTCATATGCAAAGATGGTTGGTTACAAATGTGCAATACCATACTCTTATGCTCCTCGACAACTCTAGCATTTCTGCATCAACTGCCATTTACCGTACTCTTATGCTCCTCGACAACTCTACTAGCATTTCTGCATCAACTGCCATTTACCAACAGATCTGTACCAATAATGAAAGACACATACCAAAGAAAGAGGAAACTTTAATAGTTAAGTTACTTTCGCCATTTCACAATGTTCAAGGTTCTGATTATAACTTACTTTTATACTGTGTTTGTTTGTCTGCTATTAAAACATCAAACTTTTCTTCTTATAACAGCAAACACATTAAGAACTGTGTAGAACTGACAGCAAGCTGCACATCCTGAAAGGACTCTTTTTGGACATATACTGAATTACAGTCAAGAGCTTATAACTCAGTTGTCCTGAAGCACAGGAACTGGGGCTAATTCCATATTGTGATCACTTTTGCAGCAGTCTTCAAAATAAATGACAGTGAAAATAATAGTGACAGGGTAAGGTGTCTGACTAAATGATGGAGATCTAGCTCCTAGAACCAATTTAGACCAAAGTAACTTTTAAAACAGGAGCCTAGGCAGACAAGCAGCAGAACAATGTTGAGGGCTATTTATTACACTGCAAGCCTATATTCACTTCATACAAAGACACGCAGACAACATTCAGAGAAATTCTGACCACCTCAGGGATTTCTCATTCATTTCCACAGACTCCGGATTTGATTCCCATAATTGAAATACAGTATGCCTTTCGCTGGCTCGTCATTTCCCCAGCACAACCCTTTTGTAGTTTTTGGAAGAAGGGGTGGAGGAATTTTTAGAAAACCTGGCAAGGGAGGCTTTAAGGATAAGAAAAAAAGGGGGAAAACCCACAACTTTGGGGCGAAAGGCCCAGCTTCTTCTGACTGTATTTCTTCATGCCATCAGGGGCAGGTGACACGTCTGCCCACCTACTTAAAACTCAACCAGCAGCCTCGTCTCCGGGAACCCATGAGGCCCGTCTCCCTCAGAAGAACGAATACCAACCAGGCACAAGAGACGCCTGCCGACGTTAGGGCAACCCCAGAGCGAGGGTCCCAGAGGCTTGCCCACCCTCCGCTTCTCCCAAGCTCCCGTCCCCGCCATTTCCCACTGACCTGGAGACGGCCATAACAAGAAAAAGTCGGAGCTGGGGCCTGGCCGATCAGGGAAAGAGTCGCCACGGTTCTGGCAGGAACACAGGGAGCGGCCAAGGCCCTGGCCTGGGCCTCGAAGAAGCACGCCGCGGCCCACAAACGAGATAGCGACCAGGCGGGGCTATAGCCGGCGGCGGCCGGAGCCTCCCTCCTCCCCTTGGGGTGCGCGTACAGGCCGTCAAGGCACAAAATACGGTCCGCGCGGATAAAAACCTCTATCCCTCCATCACCAGGGGAAAGCCCGATGCCTGGTTTTATATGAGCAGCCATCTTGTATTTATTCCCTTCCTCCATGGAAGCCTCTTCCTGATTGGCATGGACGCGAGACCGCAGCCAATGGCGTGCGGTCTTTGAAGAACAGTGCGGGGGCGGGGAAAAGAATTGGCTAAATAGGAGTCTACCATTGAGATCGCAGAGACAGCCGAAGAGGAGATTGTGGTAGGTGCCGCGGCCTCCGCCGTTGTGGAGGATGATACCATTCAGCCAATAGGATGGGGAGGGGAGAATAACGGAGGTTTTGTTCAGTTTCTTAAACTCGGAGGGACGGCAAGGGAGAATATTCATTTAAAAAAAACACCAAACACTTACAAACATGTTTAGTAATCTTAGCATTCAAAAAAAGCGCTGAATCTATGCTCTAGCTCAGCGGACAAAAAAAAAAATCCTCCGCCTCCCCCCCAAGCTCCTGTAATGGAATAATCATGACTCTTTGGCTCGAGCAATGAGTCGAGAAATGAGGCGGGGCTGAGGAACTACAAGTCCCAGCGATCATTGCGGGATCGACGTTGAGATTTGTCTTCGGCCTCTCTTTCCGGAACGGAGCAAGGCTTTAGGTTCCTTTTCGGTTTAATCAGGGTCTTTTGAGGCCAACTGGATAAGAAAGCGGGTGCGCCGTTCTATATGAGACGAAGCCGCCGAGAGCCAGTTCTCTCTCGGGACGTTTTATCCGTTCGACGCGTGTGAAAGTTAGATGAAGATTTCTCAGCCAGTATGTGGAAAGTATGCACAATTTCTTTTATAAATAGAAGGCTTTTTTAAAAATAAAATATAATGGAATTTTTAAGAACAGCAGTAAAGGTTGAGGGGGTCAGTATAAACCGCCTAGAGTGGTCGCAAGACCAGATAGGCGGGATATAAATAGAATAAATAAATAAAATAAACATAAACCGTGTAAAGACCACGGAATGAGAAGGCTTCTTCTACACTGCTTCCCTCAAATTGGAAATACTGATTTTTAAGGTACGAGTCTGGATTTGTGACTTATTCCTTTAGAAACATCGATTGTTTGTACCCTTAATGGCTCTTATTACAGTAGCAAGCTGGGAACGGAGCAAGTTATAAATGGTGTGATCAGCCAGCCTAGCATTTTTTCCGCTATTTGATCTGCTGCAGGAAGAGGCTGATTTGTTGCTTTTGCTAGCAATTGCTTAGAGCAGTGGTTCCCAACTTTGGGTCCCCAGATGTTCTTCAACTACAATTCCCAGAAATCCTGGCTAGCAGAGCTAGTGGTGAAGGCGTCTGTCACTGGGTTAGAATGAATCGGTCTTCCCCAGTACCGCTTACCAGTGCAAAGCTGCTCCTTTTTGTTTTTTGTGTGGAGATATAGGCTCACTCTGTTTTGGTTTGTTTCCAGTGCTTGCACTTGCTGGAAACAAACCAAGGCAGAGCTTGCAACTAAGTTTCAATTTCAGTTTCTCAATTTTTTAAAAGTAGCTTAAGAAGACAGGCCCTTCACAATACAGTACAGTATTGGGAAATTAAATAATTTCCGTGCTCCTTCTTGGAGGGTCAGAGGAAGGAGGAAAAGTTGTTCGTTTTTTGTCTCTAAGACTCATGCACTTTACCACTTTTAATATATGTTTTTTTAAAAATTTCCTCCGAGACTAGGAGGGGATTAAAAAAAGTTTTTTAAATGTGAGCCAAATCACTTCAGATGCACATGCATTTGGATGCCAGGATCAAACCAAATGGCATACTGGACATTACCTGACCTTAAGAGATCCTATTTTACTCAATCCAGCTTACTGTAATTGTGCAGTGTAGACAAGCCCTACATTGGGAATGGAGTTGCTTATCTTTCCTGTGTTATCTTCACAGTGCAATGCTACTTTCATGGCTTAATGTTTCTTTACATGTCTGTCATGTATTTTCACACAATGTTGTGTTAAGTTACATCAAGTCGCATACAATTTATGGTGACCATAACAGGGTTTTCCAGATGCACGAGATATTTAAGCATTGATTTTTCCCATACTATCCACCTACCCCTGTGAGTTTCATTTAGTTTCTTGGGCCCTATAGTGTGCAGTTACAATGAACCTATTATGAAGTCAATATTACTTACATCAATAATGCTTGATGATCTACAGATTTTTCCTATATTCATGTACAAAACAATGTAAAGTTTGGGTCAACCTTTATAAAAATCATTTTGCCATGTCATCATGGCCAACTGCTGAAAAAAATTAATGATTTACCACCAGGGTGGATTTGACTTAAATCAGATTAATTTAAATAATTTTTAAATGGAATTCTTCATTTGAAGAATTGATTTTTTAAAAATATTTTATTTTTATCCACCTTGTTCAACACTAAATGTATAACTGTTCTACAATTTTACTATTTCAATTGTATTTCTGTGATTTTAGCTTTTACAGGTTGTGCCAGTTAAATAAAGTGATCAACCAATATTCGTATGAATGCAGTTTTACTCTTTATTGTTTATACTATTCTATATGTATTTGCTGTGTATTTTGTATGTAAGCTTCTTCAAGGCTTTATTATATCATTTGTTATAGGTATAAAATTGAAATTGTATAGCTTTTAAAAACAAGTCCAAATATAATTGACAATGTAGTATATTAGGATGATATGTTCATAGATTCCTCTGTTTCCACTAATAGCATTTAGCTCCGTTTGTGTAGTGTTCCATATATACATAACAAGAAGCCTATTAATTTTCTATAGTGCTTCACCATTTCATGATTAGTTCACATAATTTTACTGTATAATGTGGAATCACCTGAATTAAAATGAAATTACTTAACACCCCCTGTAAGCAGAAGTACCACTCCTTCATTTTTGTGGGAGAGATTACCGTTTAAAACTATCCAGTAATACCTACTTAGAATAAGAATTGCATGCCTTCAAGTTAGGTCTGAGTTATGGTGAGCCTTCCTGGGATCAGGAACAATGTTTTTTCTCTCATTAAGGAGCTCATTATTCTTAACTGCTGGATAGCTCAGTGGTTTATGTATCTGGCTGTGGAGCCAGAGGTTGGATGTTTGATTCTTCGTTGTGCCTTCTTGACAGTGGGTGGACTCGGTGATCCATAGGGTCCCTTTCAGCTCTGCAGTTGAAGAATGCACAGAAGTGGATTATCATTCCATTCTTCTGGGGGCACCCTGGGACTGTGTTGCTTGTTGAAGACCACACAGTCTGGCTCTTTTTCTAGGAGGCACAGAGGGGAATCAAACTCCCAACCTCTGGCTTTGCAGCCAAGTACCTTAACCTGGCAAATAGAAGGATAAGATATGGAGGCAGTGACAGATTTTACAGTCCTTTCTTGGGCTCCATGATCACTGCAGATGGTGACAGCAGCCACGAAATTAAAAGGTGCCTACTTCTTGGGAGAAAAGCAATGACAAATGTAGACAGCATCTTAAAAAGCAGGGACATCACCTTGCCAACAAAGGTCCGCATAGTCAAAGCTATGGTTTTTTCAGCAGTGATGTATGGAAGTGAGAGCTGGACAATAAACAAGGCTGACTGCCGAAGAATTGATGCTTTTGAATTGTGATGCTGGAGGAGACTCTTGAGACTCCCCTGGCCTGCAAGGCAATCAAACCTATCCATTCTGAAGGAAATCAATCCTGAGTGGTTACTGGAAGGACAGATCCTGACGCTGAGGCTCCAGTACTTTGGCCATCTCATGTGAAAAGAAAACTCCCTGGAAAAGACCCTGATATTGGCAAAGTGTGAGGGCAAGAGAAGGGGACGACGGAGGATGAGATGGGTGGACAGTGTCACTGAAGCTACCAACATGAATTTGACCCAGCTCTGGGAGGCAGTGGAAGACAGGAGGGCTTGGCATGCTCTGGTCCATGAGGTCTCTTCCTTTTGTGATTCACATAACTTGCATTGTGTACAACAGGGGTCTCAAACTCAATTTACCTGGGGGCTGCTGGAGGCAGAATCTGGGTGAGGCTGGGCCGCATCAGATTTTCCACCAAGCGGAGCAAGAGCCAGAGGAAGCCACCCAAGTTTCCTTAGCCCGGCTGGGCCTCCAAGGAGGAGGAGGGGCTCGTGAGCCGTCGCCGGCCACGACCCCCTCCAGCTCCTTCTTTACTACCATCCCCAGTAGGATGAAGGGAGGGAGCACTGGCAACCGCCTAGCGGGGTGGGGTGGAGGGCAAGACATAAAATAATAAAAAAAACCCTCACAAAGTTCTCCTTGCCAAAGGAGAAAAGCCCCCACCGGTACCTGTGAAATTAAACAGAAGAGGGCGGGGGCCCCACAGGTGCTCTTGACAGCAGAGGACACGTAGGCACTTTGGAGGGGGGGCAATTTGGGGGCCACAAACAATCATCCAGCAGGCCGGATGTTTGAGACCCCTGGTGTACAAGCTGTGCATACAAGGGATTGGAGTTTCAGAATCCTAGGACTTCCAATCCCGGAAGTCACCTGGAATCTCCCAGACTGTCCTCTGTGACAGGCAGAGGAGAAAGTGGAAGGCAAGAGATTTATTTTTATCTGCACAGTGTGTTCCTTCTTATCTGTATCAGATGGGAAGAAAAAGAGAATGCTCTCTCAGTTGGACTGTTTCCTGGGAGCCGCCCCATTGGTTTATGGATAGGGTAGTCTTGCTACCTATTAGATGCTGTTGCTGACATCATTCTTGTTGCACAGGCAAAGCTGTGCAACAAGATTTTAGTTATTAAATCTATGTTGTTACTACCAAATTAATGAACCATTTTACCTCAGCTATTTTATTTTTACCTTAACAAGTTTCTTTTTCCTTTTTTTCAAATCTTAAACAAATTAATAGTGAAACTTTACTGAATTTTTATGTTACAACTGTTGTACACTGAAATAGTCATACACATTGCATATACAGTTGTCTTTTGTATTACGACATTTCAATTTCTCTATGATAAATGCTATTTTTATTTCACACAGGTAGGACATCTGTCTTCACATACGCTTATCAAATATATCAACCATCTAAAATGTGAAACAACAAAGATTTGTGGACTGATCTTATTATACATACTGGCCTAAATCCAATTGCTAGTCCCTACTAGCTTAGATCCATTGAATCAACTGCTAAATGGGGACTCAACACTTATGTAAATCTCACTGATTCAATAAATATACTCTAGTTGGGATTACTAACTATATTCAAACTACTAGTTTTGTAACTGAAAGATACATGTATTTGAGGAAAGGTTTGGTCCACATACAAAGAAAAATGGGTGAAACATGCATGCACATTTGTTATCTAGTTCATTTCCAAATGCAGTGTTCTCTTGAATGTAAATCATAATGTGCTCTATCTTCCTCCTTAGGAGTATAGCCTAAAGGCAAGCCATAATTGTAATCAATTGTCACAACAGGTAACCTTTTCCCCTGGCCAATATCTCTTGTCATTTCAGGTTGAGATTCTTTTGCATGGTCAACTGAAACTGAGTTAAATTCCTCCTGGCAAGGTGAAGGGTGTTGTACAGGGTGAGAGGAATATGGTGCAAATCTAGTTATTCCTCTGTTCATTTCATTCGAAGGGTACATTCTTCTGTAATCTTTAGGGCAATCAGACCTATAATATGAAAATGATAGTATTAATTAAAAACATCTTAAGCTGATGGTGGTTTATTCAATGACAGTGAGACAGAAAGTAAGAAAACAGCAACAGTTAGTTGTTAGTTTCAGTGAAGTTCCTGATGCTCTTTTCATAAGGAACATGAAGAGAGCATCAGGAACTTCACTGAAACTAACAAAGGGAAAATAAAACCACTGTACACCATCCTCTATCAGAAAAAAGCCCTTCAAAATAAAAATTAACAAATTGGCTTTTGCCAAATTGTATTTACAGTAATCTCTGTAAATAGATATTTAAATATTTATATTTAGCTAAAATAAAATCATATTTACATATAGCTAAAATATCTATTACAGTACAAGTCTCAATGCACAGGAGGATTCTGAATATTCGTCATAGCTGCTTTGATTTGGATTCCTGCCCTGAGCAGGAGGTTGGACTCAATAACCTTACAGGCCCCTTCCAACTCAATTATTCTATGATTCTGAGGTACCGTATTTGCCGGCATACAAGATGACTTTTTGGGCCCAAAAAACATGCCTCCAAGTGGGGGGGGTTGTCTTGTACGCCGGGTGCACTTCATTTGGGCTCGCTTGCCCGCCACCCACCCGTTTCCCTTTTCCGCCTCCTCTTCCTCCTCAGCCTCTTGCCTTCTTCCTCTCCCTCTCACTGCTGAGCCAGTGCGCTCGCTTGCCCACGACCCACCCATTTCCCCTCTTCCTCCTCCTCCTGTTTGGGGGGGGGAGCGTCTTATACGGCTGGTCGCCTTGTGCACCAGCAAATACGGTATTTTCACAAATTTATTTCTCGGAATAAGTTCATCTACACTTTCATCAGTTTTTCAGCACATAATAAAAGATAAAGTTGTCAGCTCAGAGTTTTTGAGCTGTGAAAGAGAGTTTGGAAATAGCTAGCTATGAATAACTAATTTGTTGTTGTTGTTTAGTTGTTAAGTCGTGTCCAACTCTATGTGAACCCATGGACCAGAGCTTGCCAAGCCCTCCTGTCTTCCACTGCCTCCCGGAGTTGGGTCAAATTCATGTTGGTAGCTTCAATGACACTGTCCAACTATCTCATCCTCTTTCATCCCTTCTCCTCTTGCCCTCACACTTTCCCAACATCAGGGACTTTTCCAGGGAGTCTTCTCTTCTCATGAGATGGCCAAAGTATTGAAGCCTCAGCTTCAGGGTCTGTCCCAGCACACTCGCTCGCCCACCCCCGCCGTTTCCCCTCTTCCTCCTCCTCCTGCCTCCGCCCGCCCAGGCTCTTCCTGTTGGGGGGGTTGTCTTATATGGCCGGTCGCCTTGTAGGCCGGCAAATACGGTATTCAGTCTTTCATCAAGAAGAAATGCACAATATTAAGTCAGTAAGATGGAGAATGTCCCATGCATGCAGTGGAGGAATCATAGTATTCCCAAAGAGAAAAACCTTCAGCTGAAAGCAAAAATTTGAAGACTAAAAGCTATACCAACTTCAGCCAGAGATCCAGGTCAGAGATCAACCCCCATTCCTCACTCAAATCATGGGCACACTCATGTATTATTTTTATACCTTGACATCAATCCCAGTAAACATTCTGTCCCACTCCGATCTCTATACAGCACATCAACAGAGCAGAAGATCAGAAATGAAAGCTATGCTTTTAACAGAGTAAATCAACAGATTAATATCACAGGCCTACTTACAGTTATGTAACCTTTTTTGATGCAGTTCTGTTGATCCTTGATTAGGGAAAGGAAGACCCTTTGTTTAATGTGCTTAGACTTAGGGAAGCAAAAAGTGGAGGCCATCTCTCATGCTTGCTTGGAGTGGAAATTAAGATATATTAAAGGGTATTTGGGTGGGGATTTATCTGTGACCTGAATTTCTTTGCTTTTTAGAAACTATAGCTTCAACCATATTTTTTCCCTTTAAACTTAAAACAGTGTCTTTCTTTCTTTGGGAATATCACTGCTTTCTGAAATATAAAAACACACAAGCATCAATAATGGGACAAGAACGTTTATGTATACTGATCAAATTGAAAGAGGAATATTAGGCAAAGAAAGTCTGCTTTCCCAAACAACGCAGTACGGATAACAAAACAAATAGTTAACAGCAGCTATTGACCACAGTATCCTCCTGCCCTGCCTCTCTGGAGTGGGACTTGGGGACACTGTTTTACCGTGCCTCCAGCCCTTTCTAAAGGAGAGAACTCAGAAGGTGGTGCTGGGGAATTCCCCATTATATATGTATTGATCTTTGCATTAATATTGCCTATAAATGATGCAAGATGCCTCCTTATTTATTGTTTGTAGTTTTAAATATTGTCTTTTAACGTTGTTAACCACTATTGTATACTTATTGCTTTCAATTTTAAAGATTGCCTTTCATTGTTGTAAGCTGCCTTGGGTCCTTTTCAAGGAGAAAGGTGGGATAAAAATATTTTAAATAAATAAATAAATAAACATTAAACCTTGGACTCAGTGTTCAAAGCAGAGCAACCTCCTCAAGTCAGTTATATATGAATTTCTGAGTTGACAAAGGAAAGGGAGTTACCATTTACGTCTGTCTCTTCATGAGTCATGTATTACATACTGTTGTCATTGTGCTGCTTGAAGTTTTCCCACAGGAAGCACATTACAGAATGATTTTTTTTTTTGCCGAAAGCTAGTCCTATGTAAGCAGGGGAGGGTTAGAAAACAATATTTTCATCCTATAATTGCCACTCTACATTCTCCATCTAAAAGATGTACACATCTCAAGTTTTCTGAAGGTGACGGGATTGAAAGCATCAGGTAATAATGGTGGCAAGTAAACAATTTGCCAAAAAGATACAAAAGAAAAAGAGAGGTTACTTAACTGTAACTCTGGTTCTTTGAGTGGTCATCTGTGAATTCACACTAATGGGTTAATCTGCGCCTGTGCAGAGGTTTCCGGAATCTTCTACAGCTTAACACTCATTCGCCAGGACCGCCCCCCTAGTGCACATGGTCTGCCCGTCCTGGCTAGTGCCTCAATTCCCAAACTGCCCGCCACTGAATAAAATGAAATAGACGTCACGGACAGAGGGCAGGACGGGCGGGAAGTGTGAATTCACAGATGACCACTCGAAGAACCAGAGTTACGGGTAAGTAACCTCTCTTTCTTCTTCATGGTCTCTGTGAATGCACACTAATGGGTGATTAACAAGCTTACCTGACTGGAGGAGGGACGGCACGAAAGAACAGACGACAGGACTGCTCGTCCACATGCAGCATCCGACTTAGCCCGGAGGTCCAAGCAGTAATGAGAGGTAAAGGGGGACGGCATGGACCATGTAGCAGCCCTGCAGATATCACCGACAGAAACGCCTCTGAGAATGCTGCAGAAGTAGCCACTGCCCTCGTAGAATGAGCCTTAACTCCATTTGAAAGAGGCTTCTTAGCCAGCTGATATGCCAGGAGAATGGTTGATACAAACCACTTAGAGATGGTTTGGGAAGAGATAGAGCATCCTCTGTGTTGTAAGTGCAAAGAAACAAAAAGTCTCTTGGATTTGTGGAAAGAGGCGATCCTTGAAATGTAGGCCAATGCTCGCCTAACATCTAAGGTGGAGAGAACGCTCCAAGCCAGTAACAGGCGATGGGAAAAAGGTAGGTAAAATGAGGGTTGTTTTAAGGTGGAACCCAGAAACAACCTTTGGAAGAAAGAAAACATCAGGATAAAGAGTTACCTTGTCCAGGTAAAATTGAAGAAAAGGAGGGTCGACTCTAAGTGCAGCAAGTTCTGAGGCTCTATGAGCGGAAGTAATGGCTTCAAGGAAGAGGGTCTTGTAAGCAAGAAGGCAATCGGACGCTGCGGCGAGAGGTTCAAAAGGCCGCGTCATTAGGCTTTGTTGAACAGTATATAGTGACCATTGCGGAGGGAGGTGTGGTCTGGTGGGTTGTAGATTGGAGCCCCCTTAAGAAATTGTTTTATCATAGGGTGATGAAAGAGTGAAGATGCTTCAGAGCCATGTGGCTGGTGAGCTACTATAGCGGAGAGATAGACCTTGATAGACAAGGACAAATGCTTGGTAAAGAGGTGAGTAAGGAATTGTAGCATGGTGTGAAGAGTTGTAAGCGCAGCTGGGAGATGACATCTGGAGCAATAGAGGGTTTTCTATTGATGCGAAAATGTCCATGTGTGGTTATCCCCATAGAATGGTTAGTTGACAAAAGATGGAGTCATTAAGGGACCCATTCATGCGTCTGCGAACCGAGTCTGCTGAGAGAGTCCGCTATACGATTGTGGTGAGTGGTGATATGAACTGCTATTGGGAATACAGTATGTGGTGCTTGAGACACCACTCCCAGAGCTGGACAGTAAGGTAAATCAAGGGAAGAGAGAGTGTCCCGCCCTGTTTGTTGAGATAAAAGAGGGCTGTGGTGTTGTCTGTCGTAATCTGAACAGCGGTGCTGGTGACCAATGGTTCGAATACGTGGAGAGCCTTGAATATGGCTAGAAGTTCTAAGTTTTTGTGTGAAGCATTTTCTCAGCGGGTGACCACAGAGCGTGAAAACATAGTCCCTTGCAGTGAGCACCCCATCCGGTTGGGCTTGTGTCGGTTGTTATCCGTACGGTAAATTAGAGAGGCGCAAAGGGTCTGTCCATGAAAAGATTGGCTGGTGTGTTCCACCATTGGAACTGTGCTGCAATTTCTGGGGTAACCCTCAATAACATGGAGGGTGGGGCCGACATGGGATCGAAGAGGGACAAGTACCAAGCCTGTAGGGAGTGCATCTTCAAGTGGGTGTGTTGGATGACTGACGTTGTAGACACTATGAATCCGAGGAGGTGCTGGGTCTGAAGCATGGTGACTAATACATGTGGCTTGAAGTACTGAAGGGCAGCATAGGGTGGAGACCGTCATCTCTCTTGGGTACCATGAAGTATCTGGAGAAAAACCCGAGGTCGGCGTCTGGTGAGGTGACAGGTGAAACAGGATCTTTTGAGAGAAGGGATTGAACTTCTAGGCTGAGAACATGGGATGGTGGAGTGAGGACTCTCCTCAGAAGTGGGAGGACAACGAATTCTATGGTGTAACTGGTGGCAATGATACCGAGGACCCACTTGTGGTGATGGCAGCCCAGGATGAAAAATGGACAGCAAGGCGAGTTTGATGAGGATGTGGTGAGTGGAGCGAGGGAGACTGGGTGACTTGAAAGTCAAAGACTGTTTTGGTTTTTTCTCAGGCCAATGAAAGGACTGATGGGAACATTGACGCTGAGTGACATGGCAAGTCTGGAAAGTGGATGTAGCTAGTGGTAAGTATCTCTGTTTATCAGGAACGGATCTGTATTGCTGGTAAGGATATGTGCGACGCCATTGGTAGCGCTGGAGCCTGTAATAAGGTTGAGTATTGTAAGATCTTGCAGTTTTCCTCATTTTTTGGAGATTATCAAGGATTTCATCGGTCCTGGTGTCGAAAAGGCCAACTCCATCAAATGTTAGATCCTCAATATGCATGTGAGAATCATCAGAGATATGGGTTGAATGGAGCCAAGCATGTCTTTGAAGGGCAAAGGCTGTGGCCATGCGCTTCAAAGCAGCTTCTATTATGTGCCTTGCTGTGATGTGCTCCTGGCATGCAACAGCCATAGCCTCTTGATGGAAGGCAAGGCCTCTAGATTTATATTCGCCCTGAGCCAATTGAAGAGAAGGAAATGCTTTGTTCCATAAGAAATGGTGGTGTGTACCCATGCCTGCGAGGTAGAAAGCGCGTAATGTGAAGGATGTTAGGGAGTATACCCGATGACCAACGATGTCGAGTTTCCTGCCTTCCTTATTATTTGGTGTGGTGTTAGACCAATTCTTTGCTCTGTTTTGAGTTGCATCGCCTATGACCAAGTTCAGAGGCGGATGCTTGGACAGAAAAGCCGTATTGTCTCCATGAGTCTTGTATAAATTTTCAACTTGTCTGGAGATTTGTGGCACAGAAGGTGGCTTAGGCCAGGATTGTTTAATCAGTTTGATTAAATCCAATGTGGAGTGGGGTTTTTTGGTCATCATCAATGTCCTTGTAAACCTTATCGGACTTGGACTGTACTGGTTGCTGTACATCAAGATCCATTACTTTCAGCGATATGTAGGACTAGTTGAGAATACGACAAAAAGTCCTCTGATGGGGAGGAAGGTTTCACGTCAGCGACATCAGAGTCAGGGTAGGCAGATTAGGTGGAGACTCCGGGAGTACCATGGAGTCACAGGTGTCAGAATTCATTGATGGTGAATGACCTGGAGAAGATGGGTCATCAACTGTATCAACCAGTGTGGTGGTTTGTTTGGTTGATGCCTGTTTAAGAGCTGGATCCCGAATGGTAGATTTATGTGGTTTAACTCAATTAGATTGATGAGCATGAACGGTCTCATGAGATACTGGTGAAGAACCAGCATAGGTGGTGGTGACTTTAGCTGATGATGGGCAAACCTGTGGATGGGCAGGGGGGTTTGGTGCACGGTACAAAGTGCTTGGAGGATGGTTTAACATGTTTCAGTACCGGTGTAATAGAACAGCAGTCCCCAACCTTTTCCAGACTGTGGACCAGTTGGGGGGTGCGGGCTCTGTGCGTGGGGGGCGGGGACACCCCCACACTCACGGGTGGGCATGTCACATTTGCAGATGTGTCACGCTTGTGGGGTGGGTACGTTGCACTTGCGGAGGGGCGTGTTGCGCTTGTGCGCATGCCCGCAAGGACGACACATCCACCCACAAGTGCAACACGTGCACCCACGAGCGCGACACGCTCCTCCGCATGACATGCCCACCCGCAAGCTCGACACACCCATTGTGCATGTGTGCAGGGGGGCTCACATTTGCAGATGTGTCACGCTTGTGGGGTGGGTACGTTGCACTTGCGGAGGGGCGTGTTGCGCTTGTGCGCATGCCCGCAAGGACGACACATCCACCCACAAGTGCAACACGTGCACCCACGAGCGCGACACGCTCCTCCGCATGACATGCCCACCCGCAAGCTCGACACACCCATTGTGCATGTGTGCAGGGGGGCAGAGATCTGTTGCAAGCTCGACACAGCCATTGTGCATGTGTGCAGGGGGGCAGAGATCTGTTTCCGTGGCCCAGTTCAAGGAAGCCCCTGGACCGGGAACGGGCCACGGACTGGGGGTTGGGGACCCCTGTAGTAGAAGAAGGAAGCGAGGTATGCTTCCTCTTTCTGGGGGACTTCTGAGCTCTCGGTATCGGTATTGAGGAGTCATCTGCCGAGGAGGACTGGTCATAGTATCGTAGTTGGTATGGAAGAGGAGATTCAGAACCAGAATTGGAATAGTAGTAGGAGTATCAAGGGTGCTTAGGCTCCACATAGACCTCCATATCGGGGCGCCAGTACCAGTATTGACGGTGACGGTATCGATGTGGTGGGAGCTCATAATATGCCACTGGCCCATAGAGGGTAACCCTCTTGGGATGACAGTATTGTGAAAGTGAATCATGGAATGCAAGCAATCCCATTGACTTCTGTGGTAGTGGAGCGACAACTTCAGTAAGACCAGTCTCTGGTGTATGATGTGCCTTTCAGGTTCACTTGCACAGAGATTGCAGATCAGCAATGGAAGCTGAATCCGAATGACACTCAGAGACAGAGCAACCCAAAGGGCTCAAGTGGTCATAATGAGGCAGTACCATAACCTCAGCCGAGGTATTAGCCCACAAGGGGGACTGGGCCAAGAGAGGTGAAGTTGGTTGGCCTGAAGGTGGAGACAGATAATCGTCATCTTCCACAGATATGGAACTGAGGCAAATAGTTTGCTGCTCTTGTAACTGGATGGAAGAGGTTGTCTCGTCCTTCTGGTGTTTGTAGGATCGAGAATCAGAGGATGATTTCTTAGGCTTCTTTGGTTTGGACTGTTTGTCTGGTACTGGAGGAGACTTTGGTACCGGTGTGGACTTCGGTGCCGAAGCACCCGTGGTAGACTTAGTGATGGTCTTAGACTTAGATTTAGATTTTGCTGAAGATACAATCGAAGCTCCTCGGGAAAACGATTGAACCTGAGAAGGTAGTGTAGGTTCCATAGTTGGTATGGGACGAAGGGAACATTGCCACAAATAAGATTGTAGGTGTTGCTGCCTTAGCTTAAGTGCCTGTTTCGTAAACTTTTTACAAAAAGGGCAAGAAGGCGGTTGGTAAGCTTTGCCCAGACAGAAAAGGCTGGAATTGTGGCCGTTGGTGACTGGGATTTAATTGGGGCACAAAGTACACCGTTTAAACGGTCAAGAGGCCATAAAAAATTAGAAATAAAGAAAGGGGATTCAAGGAGGGGGGGCGGCAGAAGGAAGGAATAACAAGGAATCTCACTATCTGAGCAAGAAAATCCCTTTTTCTAGCAAGAAAAATCCCTTTTTCAAAGTAGGAGGCAAACGCAGCTTGTCTGAGAAGGAACCTCAGCAGCGGCAAAAAGGAACTGAGGCACTAGCCAGGACGGGCAGACGATGTGCACTAGGGGGCAGTCCTGGTGAACGGGTGTTAAGCTCTGGAAGATTCCAGAGGTTAACGGGTGTTAAGCTCTGGAAGATTCCAGAAACCTCTGCGCAGGCACAGATTAACCCATTAGTGTGCATTCACAGAGACCATGAAGAAGTACCTGTCTTCACTATTCATTCCTGTGGTGATGACAACATGGAAACTAGTCATAAATCATAAATGTACCATATCTAGAGCCACAGTATGATCTACATGGAACCTTGATTACAGTAAACAGGAATGCATGCCGAGTCTTTTGTCTACATCTACACACACCAAATTTTAGATTTGTGCTGGTATTAAGCAGCAGTAGACCTATTAATGCTATTGTGATAGCAAATGGTTGTTTGACTTCCAAACTCGTAGAATTTGCCAGTTAAATTTACCACGATGAAATTATGCCAGAGTAAGTAAGTAATAAGATTCCAGACACTCTCTCTTTTATTCTGGCTATAATTCTAAACCAAATTACATTTCTTTAAATCCAAATGTTGTCAGTGCGATTTAAGCATGGATATTTGGGTTGTCTACCGGGCCACTGGAGATATAATACTATGTCATTATTTTTAGTAGGATCATGCATGTCCCCCTCCAAATTCCTTCTCACCTGGGAGCAAATATTGCCCTTGACCCCTAAATACAATCAGATTCTGATTGTTAGAGAATACTGGATAATTTATTATAAAGTAATACTGGTCAGGATTTCTAGTTGACAAGAAATTTGAAACAACAGTTGAATGTTGCTTACAAATCCTGCTTGACTGGGGAAGTGTGCAGTGGTTTGTAACTGACATCTTCATTTATTCTCTAATAAGGTGGGAAAAGGGAGTTCATATGAGAGATGAAAGAATATGGAAAAAGGCAGAAAATTATCTTACAGATGGGTCTTGTTTTTTTCACAACTGTTAAGAAAGAACCAAGTATTATACCTGATTCAGTCCCTAAAGACAAATCTTTATTTCCGAAGTTGACTGAGTCCTTTCACAGGATATCTCTTGTTCATAGGAGACTATCCTTATAAAAAGCTGAGCCTGAATCCACTCGCTTGTCCCAACAATTTTTGAATGGTGAGTTAATACCTGTGTAAATCCACCAACAGTATTTAAAGTATGTCAAAATACGTACAGTTCATCAGACTACACATATTAATATAAATCATTTGCTGTCTGAGTGTAGGAATTATGAACATCCTTTGCACGAATGCCATGAAAATAGGAACTTCACCTGCTATTTCTGGTATAGCCATCTTTATCAGAGCCATAATCTCTGTGCAGTATGGGAGAGTCAGGGAAGTGCTCATGAGAAAGAAAAGCATGATCTCTGAAAGAGTAAAACAGATGCATCAAACAGTATAAACAAAACCTGGATGTAAATATAAACTGGATTCATAATTATCTGCCTATGAGCAGAAAGATTGCTATTTTTGATAGAGGGAACTATGATGCAATGTTTCTCAATCCATTTTGCAGTGATGACTTCTTGACAGAGAATGGACTGATCATCTGATTTTTCATTTTCCCTGCAGCTTCTAGGGACAAGCTCACACATTGTTCTGGAATTTTTCAACTCTCTAGAATTATGTAACATTATATATATACTAGGTGGTATACATAACAACTGGTGTGCATGCAGGTGCGCGCACGCAGACACGTACACAAAGTTGTAATCAGTTATTCTATTGCAAATTCAACTGAAAATGCAATTTTAATGAATTCTACAGTCTCTGAATTAGTCAAACCCCCTGAATAGAATCCCTTAGAGCAGTGGTTCTTAACCTTTGTTACTCGGATGCTTTTGAACTGCAACTCCCAGAAACCCCAGTCAGGACAGCTGGTGGTGAAGGCTTCTGAGAGTTGCAGTCCAAAACTCCTGAGTAACCCAAGGTTAAGAACCAGTGCCTTAGAGCACAAATATGCAAAACAGGTGTTATCTCAAGCAAACCTGATGCAACTAATCAAAGGCTTCATTAGTTGCACCCAAGGTTCCTTCTAAGCTGGGCATGAATGCGCATTTGTGCGACTCCACCTCCCTCTGTGTAACTCTCTTCCTCCTCTGTGCCGCAATCACGTTTAATCCTTTGATTCTGGTCGTGATTGAGTCGTGGGCACTGGTGGGGGCCCAGAGTTGCATGCACATGCAGGGGTGAAGTTGCACAAGAGAGGTCAGCGGGGCTGAAAATTAAAGAGTACGTTGGTTGCACCAGGTGTGCTTGAGCTGGAACACATGAAATACCTGAACTGGCTAGAGGTTTGGTGAGTGTGACATTTGAATGCATGTTGGAAATATCGCTAAGTCAAAAGAATGGCCCAGAAAGTTAAGTGAAAAGATAATTGCCCTTCACAAGTGAGGAACAGAATACAAAAAGATAGCAAAAGCACTAAATGTTCCTAGATACACTGTTGGAAGTATAATTCTCAACTTCAAAGTTAAAGAACAGTGGTTACACTATCTGGACAGGGTAGAAAAAGGAAACTATCAACTGCTGCAACCAAATTTCTGAGAGGCCGCCTAGAGTGGTCGTAATTGACCAGATAGGCGGGATATAAATAAAATAAAATAAATAAATAAGGCAGATTGAGAAAAACCCTTGAGTGACTGCAAAAGCCCTGCAACAAGACTTGGTGGCAACAGGCACTGAAATTTCGATTTGCGCAGTAAGGCACTGTGACGAGCGCCCATGTCTCTCATGCCATTCATAGTCAAGAGGTGATCTGCATGGACCTGTGAGAGGACTGGAGATGGAGTCAGCAGCTACATGAGGTTTGGCGGGAGAAGGAGTCAGATAAGGCAGGTTAGTCAGAGAGAGAGGGAACAGATACTGAGAGATACAGCTGGTTAGGAAAATAGGTAGAGAAGGTGGTAATGATATAGCAAGAGAAAAGAAATATGTACTGAGAGAACTGTTGATGAATTGCTTATGTATAATGTGTAGCTGAAGAACTTCTGTTATTATTCAATCTGCTTCACTCCAGTAAATAAGTTCTGTTTCTGTTCACAAGACAAGTGTTCTGACAAACATCATTTATACTGTGGACTGAAGTAATCCACTGGTGGCAGCGAGAAGAAAACGACATGTAAGCTTTTATGAGGGAAAGACAAGCAGGGGCCACAAGGGCAAATGCCACAGGCACATACTAAATACAGATTTCCATGTCAGAACTCCAAGACATACACCACTACTGACCCAAAAGCACAAGAAAAGCCAGCTCCAATATGCTAAAAATAATATACTTAAGCCACAGAAGTTTTGGGATTCTGTTTTGTGGAGTGCTGAAATGGAAATGTGCAGTGTGTCTGGAGGAAGAAGAATGAAGCATATGCTGAAAAGAACACCCTGCCTACAGTTAAACATGGTGGTGGCTTGGTGATGCTTTTGGGCTGCTTTGCATCCTCTGCCACTGGAAACCAGTGTGTGGAAGGCAAGATGGATTCATTGAAGTATCAAGAAATCCTAGAAGAAAACATCATGCAATCTGTGAGAAAGCTGAAGCTTGGATGTCATTGGACCTTCCAACAAGACAATGATCCCAAGCAAAACAAATTCCATCAAACCTTGGTTGCAGAAGAAGTCCTAGAAGATTCTACAGTGGCCATCACAGTCACCTGACTTGAACCCCAAAGAAAATCTCTGGTGGGATTTGAAGAAGGCGGTTGTAGCATGCAAACCCAAGAATATTACTGAACTGGAGGCCATTGGTCATGAGGAATGGTCTAAGATTTTTCAGGAACACTGCCAGAAGCTGGTGTCTGGCTATGCATCTCGTTTCTGGCAGGTCATAACAGCAAAAGGGTGCTCTACTAAGTACTCAAGATGCTTGCCACGAAGGGGTTGAATAATTTCATTAAAAGTTGCATTTTCAGTTGAATTTTGAGAAACCACTTGAAGCATTCCTTGTGTTGAGATATTTCAACTGTTTTTGTTTTATTTGTTCATTGCAAACAGCTGGAAGTCTGTAAAATTTGACAATAAACCTGTAACTTCTGGAGATGAATTGCCTCCAAAGGTTATGTTATTTGTGTTATGCCAGCATAACTAGGTACAAGGATTTGGGCCAATGATTCATACTGTTTTCAATCCCACAAATATTAAAAAATATTGCAATTATTTGCTTAGATGACTAAGTTTATAGAAATTCATGGAAGATGGAAATATCAAAAAGATGAATATAGGACTTTTCTGTACCTGTTGCTTCACCTGTCACCTCTAAGGACTTCTCCTCATCAAAGATTCCTGTGGGTAGGTCCCCAGAACATACCATGAGGATTCAGAATGTCGCTACTGTTAATTTTATCCTTTACTCTAGATCAGATGTCTTTGTATCAGGGCAGGCCCCACTAAGTGACGTAAGGTAGAAAACTAGCCTAGTCATCTAATTAATAGTTAGGACTGAGCTGCTAAGGATGATAAGCAAACACCAGAGTCAGCTTGCCTAAAAGATAGTAATGGGATGTTGCTCTTGATTTCTTGGGGAGGGACACATCTTCTGAGGGGGTGGTCAACCATAAGATGAAGCACCAGTTGCCAGCAGATTGGAACACGTCCTCCAGCATATCTCAGAGAGATATTATTACTGATGTTGTTGTGTGAACCTCCTAGCAAGGTCTCAGCCTCTAGTTCATTCTCATACTATTCCTCCCTTTGAGACAGCCCAAGCCCAGGCAGGGGCAATCTTGCTTTCCCTGTACTGAGAGTCCACTTACGCTGTTCTCTGGCTTATGGGAATTACTAGGGAGAAGCTTCCTCCTTATTCCACTCCAGAGAGCTGCTTATATCAACAATGGGAGCTTGTTCCTGCTTCCTCAAGCGTTCTCCCCTCTCCCCCTCACAGGCAGTAGAGTATCTTTCTCTTTTTCCTTCCCTGCTCTTTTTACCAACCTAAAAGGGAAGGGGAGACCAGCTCAGTGGACTGGACCGCTTGCCTATGAAACAGCACAGTTTCAACATTCCCAACCTTTCAAGCTGGTTTCCTGTCCTGGAATGGGGGAGCAGGGAAAGTCTTCCCCCTTATTTTTTTTGTTGGTTTGTTTATTACTTAAATTTGTATACTGCTCCCCATTAGTGCTGAAGCAGTACTCTGGGGTGTGTGTGTTGCAATAATAAATTTCACCATCCCTTTCTTTTCTTGGACATCTCTCCCTCCTTCAGCCTCAGCTGAATCTTCTTTGGAATTCTCGGCTGTCAGCTACTAGAACATCTTTGCACTGCTAGGCAAGCATCTCCTAAGTCTGACACTCAGTGCTATCTTCAGTCATGAAAAGCTCAGCAGCCATTTCTTCAGCCTTGCTCTCCCTGAAGGCTGCAGAACAGCTGCAGTCAGACTGTCACATTAGACAATAAATAAATAAATAAATAATGAATGAGAAAATCAAAAGGAGTGAACTTTCCTTAACTGTGGCAGATTATCAGTTAGCCAACTGTTGTTAAAACCAAAAAACTGAGCATCAGGCAGGTATATATATGTTCAGAGATGGTAGCTCTTCCCACCTTTCTACATAATCTTCATATGCCATGTTAGTCTCAGAAGGTATATGGTCATTAAACGATCTCATCCTTTGTCCAGACCCCCTGTTTAAAAAATCTTCATCGTAAGACTGATGGTCATGGAATGGTCTACATCTTGATTCGGAATCTCTCTCTCCAAAATCATCCGCCGGCATCTCCCTTTGTAAATCACTGTGATGCTGATGGTCACTGAAAGGTCTCATTCTTTGCCCATGGCCCCTACTAACAAACTCAAAGTCTCCCATTGGTAGTTGCATATCATCATAAGGGGAACAGTCCAGAAATGGTCTGGCTCTTTGGCCAGGTCTTTTCCTGTGGAGTGCTGGATCTTTTAATGGCATCTTTGGAAATAACGGTGTATGTGTACAGTCATCATTAGACTGTGGGTCATAAAATGGTCTCTGCCTCTGTCCTCTGCTGAGCTGTGAATCTCTCAATCTATCATTATGAGTAGGTATATCAATTAAACGGTTCTGCCTTTCTCCATGGCCCATATCAATATCTCCTGGTGGTGCCCCTGCTGGAAAGTCATCACAAAGTTGGCGCCCATGGCAAGGTCGGAGTCTCTGCCCTGATACCCTAGTGGTGAAATCCAAGTCTTTCAGAGGCATTTCTTCCTGGTAATCGTCATAAAATGAATGTTCTGGAAAATGCCTTTGTCTCATTTGTAAGTCATCGTGAAACCCATGATCATGATATGGTTTTCGTCGTTGTCCAGGGCCCTTATTAATAAAATCAAACTCTCTCAGTCCTATCTGTTCTGGCAAGTCATTATGGTTATCTTCATAAACTCTTAATCTTTTCCCAGTTCTGTGAAGAAAAATCAAGAGAATTCTCTTTTTAAAAGAAAAAACAAGTGCCAAAATTAATTGACAAACATTATTAAAACATACAGTAGGAACCGGAAATAATTACTAAAAAAACCTTCCCAAACTCTGGAATGTGATTAATGACTTTTCATGTACTCCTAAAATTTTAGAATAGCCTAATTCTACTGAACTTTCATCATTTTCCCCATTGCCCTTTGTACCTCCTTGAAGCTCCCTTTGGTGGTGGTGGGTCTAACTTTACAGAGCATCTCTGGAAGTGTATGGGAGGGCTGTAGTGGAGAATAAAGATTCCTGCCCTCAGTCAGTGAGTCCAGTTTGGCAGTAGATTCCCCCCCCCAATCCTGGCAACAAATTTCAGCAGCTTAAGCCTTAATTAAAAGCATGGAATATAGACAATTCTAATAAATATTTTCTTCTTTCTACTTTCATTTTAATAGATTTCTGCAGGCTACCTTGGAAATTCTTCATCTGGAAATCTATCAATATGTCCATCCATATCATTTTGCAGTGGCACGACGTCTCCATCGGCATCCCATAAGTTCATTCCCAGATTGCTAGAAATTTTCAAAAAGAGAATAGAATAAATATACATAGTGTTCCCCCTGGAAAACTCATGGGACAGTGCTAGTTCTAATGGTAAAAAGGGAAGATTCTCAAATGCATTTGTGTCTTAGGTTTTGTAACCTATATAAGAATATGTTAGGATAGTTTCAGGTAGCTGAACAAGGGATAGGAGATTCAATACAGCCACGGAGAATGCAGAATCATTTATTTTAGCACTTAGTGTTTACTGTCAAGATATGCATTGGTATACTTTCAGAAAGTCAACAAAACAACAGAATGTTTGTTATACCTATCCCATCCAAATAATAATCCATGAATTAGTAACATAATCTGAGTACAGGAAGTAAGGTGTATTTCAAAAAGAATAAACATCACTCTTGTCTCACCTTCTCATTGGTTGAGTTCTGAGATCTGTCAAGTATATATTACCATCCATATGGTGACCACGAGCCTCCCCAAAAGCTGAACAAATGAGGACAATATTAGCTGTGTAGAATATTGTTTTGTAAACATTTTAGTTGAGCAAGCAGCAGCTAAGTTAGTGTGTGGGTTCAGTTCCAAAATTGAATGGTTGGTAATTGGCAAAACTAACAATTAGAAACACACCTACATAAAGAGATGCCGTTCATTAGGATTCAAATTAGTATTTAGAAATGTCGCTTTTTAGAATTTTTCAAATTAGTGCAGTATTTCGGAAAGTCACCTTTTAAAGTTTCCAGCATCCCCCAGCCAGCATGGTCAGTGGCCATATTGGCTGTGAGATTGTGGGAGCGATAGGTGAAAAAATGACTTTTTAAAACTCTGGTTTAAATTCGTATGCTAGAATGTAGGCTTTTATTTTTATTGCATGCCACTTTATATTATATTGATGCTGGACACTTATCATTTGGCAACAGTAACTATGCTAAAAACAGTAAATGTATTCAAATATTAAAGAAGAATTAATAACATTATTTTAAAATGTTAGGTAAAAGCATTATAAAGAAACAGAATTAGAAGCAACAAAATGTAAACCATTTCTTTTATTGTCTCCCATACAGTCAGTCACTAAGGAAAAGCCTGCTTGAAGAGAAAGGTTTTTGCCTGCTTGCAGAAGGACAGCAAACATGGGGCCAGCTCTCACTGACATACATTCTTATCTTCCTACAAATGAATTTTTGACATCAATATTAACAACAGTTAATGGTAACTAGCCTTGTGTTTAACTCTGATTTGAACACAGTTAAGAAGAGAAAGATGCTCCAGAAAAAGAGTGTATATTAATTTGTTGGGCATGGTTATCTGACAGCTAGTTTATCACATCACAGCTTTGCAATGTTACATTTTGGAGACTACAACTCCCAGAATCCCCTCAGTGGCAATGCTGGTTGGGGGATTCTAGAAGCTGTAGTTTTTCAAAAGTAACTTTGCAAACCTGTGATGTTTTACCTGTACTGGTCCACTGAAAGCTGTTTACAACAACTATCATAAAGAAAATATGTTAACTCTCATTAAAAAAATGACACCTCCCAAATTTTCTGGCACTGCAAAGTTCAGACAGAACAAAATTATTACAAAAATGAGCCTTCTGCCCACATGTTCCATAAAAAACACAAAAGTCCTCCTGAATCAAACCCAAACACTTATCCAATCAAGTAGTTTGTTTCCAAGGGTGTCTAAACAGATGCTTAAAGAATGCCGCAGAAGAGAATATGGAGTGGCCTTCTCTGTTTATTTTTTATGCAAAACAAGATTGAAAGCTTTTACTTTTGTTTTTGACTTAACCAATCTGTTTTAACTCTGATGAATTAACACACCAGGATCAAATCACTCTTTGACTACAGGAAGAACAAATTATGATTTTTTTAGAATAATCCTGTAACAGGGAGCTGTCATCAGTTCAAAAGGGGAAACAGAAGCTTTGGATTTTCTTTTCAAGCACATGAACAAATGGGGAAAGCCCAAAACTCATATAAGCTTGTTTGCATAACAACAAACCATTATTTGCTGTTAGACATGAACTGGGCCATTAACTCTTACAGAAATGGATCATATGTTACAATGTGTTAAAACTCATGTGAGCTACCCATTTTCTAAAAGCAACCCAATATGAACTAAATGAGGAATGTGATGAGTATTCCCTGGTTTTTCTGCTTTGAATGTTGAGATTTCATTCTGGCAAGCATTCCCTGCATGATGAACATGGGTAATGCTGGGACTTCTCTGGCAGCTGAAGGGAGAAAAGTGATTTCCTGTACAGAATACTAACTGTTCTGTGCAGAAAGCCCAGTACTCATTCACGTACCTAATACTGCAAAATTACATGCAACATTAGCCTGGGAAGATATGGATGCCATTTGACTGCCTGGGAAATCCCAACAAAGGGGGGGGGGAGAGTTAATGTCACAAGGAGCTTCAAGAAGACAGACAGAAAGATTTACAACTATAAAATGAACTGCCAGATCTCAATCACAACAGCATTGTCTCCGATAGAATAAACAACATATACCAAAGACAGAGGTTAATGAAATTATTTTATCTGGTATCACATTCATGGTGTGCATGTAAATTCACAACTCTGCATAATCAACATTTACAAATTTTACACATTTATGTCAAGACTGGATTATCAAGAGTCAAATCACATGGAATCAAACTTGCATGGACCAGATTCCAGTTCCTCCATCCATATGTCAAGACTTTTTACCTTTTTCAAAAGTGGAAAATGTTTCTGTGCACACACATTTCTCGCATACAAACAAGCTGTCTTCTGTCTTCAGAAACAGCATTTTCTAGGTGGCGTAAGACTTCAGAGGGAAGTTTGAGAAGCCCTATTTCACATGTAGCATTTCTGGAGGCAGAGATTTAGACTCCAGCTACTGCAACAGATACAAGTACATAAAACTTTTGATTATCTTCATGAAGCAAACAGGTACCTTGGATTGCTGTTTCTGGATCCCAGCCTTCAACGTCAATAAGGTATCTGGAAGAATATAAAGGTATACAGGGATCACTAAATCAGAGGATATTATCACAATGAAAATAATTATTTCCTCTTTGCTAAAATACTTGCCTACATATAAGATAACCCGTTCTGTTAATTCCATTAGTACAGTGCACTCCGATGAGTTTGTCTATTTAAAAAATAAAAGGAAAACCAATGTGAACGTAGACATAGTAAGAGTGTACAGTGGGGTCTTGACTTAAGAACGGCTTGCGTTAAGAACATTTTGACTTAAGAACCACTCTCATAGGAAAATATTGACTTGACTTACATACTTAGATTTGAGTTAAGAACTGAAAACAAACCCCATGGGAGGCAGGGAAAGTGCAAAATTTAAAATTTCAGTTAACTGTTGGCCAGTGAAAAGGGTGCCTGTCTGCTTCCTCACTCCTCCCAGCATTTAGAGAGTGGATTGGGAGACAGTCTTCAGACTGCCTGGTACTCTACTGCCTGGACTATATTTTCCCTGCCTTCCCTGAACCTTTCTTGACCTAAGACAAAAAGAAACAAAATATCCCCCCTCTAGTGGTCGAAGGCAGAATAGCAGCTTCCCATTAGTTTCTATGGACGGAAAAGAGCAGATACGGATCAAATGGTTTTCAGTGCATTCCTATGGGAAATGCAGATTTGACCTGAGAACTTTTTGACTTGAGAACCGCCTTCCAATACGGATTAAGTTCTCAAGTCAAGACCCCACTGTATTATAAAGAGGTTTTAAAAAGCACTGCTGCCATTTACAGAACTGATACAATATGCATCACTTGCAACTTTGATTCTGAACACATTGTTCCCATTGAGAGGACTATGAATTCATCAGGAATTGTATGTTCTCTAGTACACTTGCAAAGCCCCCACTGACTGACTTGCCATCTGCTTGATGATGAGTTGAGAAGGCTGTTAAGATGAAGTCTGAAGTCAGCTTCTGCTTCCTTTTCAGCTTAACTGGGAACAAGAACTGCCAGAGTTGACAGCAGAGAATCTTAGTAAGCTTGAATGCAGTGCAATAGGCATTATTACTTTTGCAAGTCCAAGTCTCAATACAGTATTTATCTTCCTCATTCCTGCCCCACAATTGGCCTATGCCATACAGAAGCCTGTTTCTGCATGTGGTTTGATATCTTTGCGTTTACACAGCAGCAAGAAGCAAATTTTTGTAATGGTAATTGTTTTTTTTTTTTTACCTAACTGGATCTTTAAAAAAAAACAAATGTAAACAAAGTGTTCTATAGTGCAGAGGAGCTTTGGATCTGGACCTATTGAAGAGCATCCTCCCCACGCTGCAAGGTGAACTTCACTGGACTATGGGTCCAACTCTGCTCTAATTGAAATTTATGTATTCAACCTGTTTTATTTAAATAGGAGCTAGTTGGAGGGGGACTAATTATAAATTACTATCCCATCTTGGGATGAAAGTTGCCATTGGTCTAATGAATACGTCTTTCTAGGGCAAAGAATAACTTTTATCAGGTCAGGAGGGAGGATTTTCAATGAGTGTAACTTGATTACTGCTAGACATGGGGGCTTTGCATTCGTATATGAATACGAAGCTCCCCGGCATAGGTGGCTATCCTGATTATATCCCACCCCAGACCCTGCCAGACTACTTTCTGCATGGCATGCATGGCCAGCATAATCGTTTGCACCCCAATCACGGCAGTAGCTCAGCTGCCACAGCCCCGCCTCCCTGCTTGCTGAGCCACTCCATGGCTGAGCAGGGAGACTTGTCCTCCTGCCCCCTTGCCAGAGTGGCTGGGCGAGCAGGAAAGTGGAGCTGCAGCGATCTGGGCAAAGAAAATGATGCTGGCCATGTGCACTGCGAGCTGTGTGGTAAGTGGCCTGGCAGGGTCTGGGGATGGGAGATAATCAGGCCAGCCACCTGTGCTTGGGGGGGGGGCTTCATATACAAATTACTACCCTTCCCTTACACTGTGGTTACAATAATCTCCGCACCCCAGCTGTTATTTAAAGAGGACAAATCACACAGGATAAAGATACTGTATGCATTGACTTACTAGCACACAATTTAAAAGCAGTTTTTTAAATGGTGGTGCTTAGACAAGAAACATTATTAGACTATAACTCCCATAATCACCAGTCACTATGGGCAGTAGCAATGGTGGATAGAGAATTCTGGGAGTTGTGATCCAATAAAGTTGTTTTTTCAAGCTCTATCACTGCATGGGCATTTCTCATTAAAAGAGAGAGAGAACACTCAAATCTTATTAATAATATAGAAATAATAATCTTGAAACTTCAGAGCTGGAAGGGACACTACGGATCATTGAGCCCAACCCCTAGCCAAAGAGGCATAATGGGGAATTGGACTCCCAATCTTGTTCCACAGCTAGATACCTAAATCATTGAGCTATCCAGCTTTTCTAACACATTATATATACTTAGTTCCTTGTCCATGACTACGGCCAGTCTTTGGGTCCTGTGCAGTGGGCTGGACCCACTTCTGTTTGTACAGATGTTTTGTACAACTGATGCTTCTGTACAGCACCATAAAAAGAAATCTCATGGTGGTCATCTGGCCCTTAGAAATGGTTACTGAAAGGTGAATGAAACTGCATTGGGAAGGAGATGGGAAACCCCCATTATACAGCAGGATTCTGCTTTTGGATCTTAGCTTCCAACCCAGTGACCACAATTCAGTGAAATTTCTGAACATAAATGAAAGGGCCTGTTACTGTGCAACATTTTTCCTTTTGCTTTATGTTCTAAAAACAAATCATGTTTCATTTCTTTGATCATCTAATTTTAAAAAGTATTTAATAATACCTATATATTTAAAGTCTGATTAATAGGAATTGGGGGGGATGAAAAACTTGCAGAATTCCTGATAGCTAACATTTGTGAACCATGAATGCCATCTACAATTCTCAAATCATATATATATGTGCGTGCACGTGTGATATGAAGAATAAGTATATATGAACAGCATTTTAAAATGCAGTCCTAACCTTCAGATCCATTTTCTGAATGGGATTAGGATAACATATGTAAATGCACTCAATTGTACACATGTTTTTTCTGGGGGAGGGGTTGCCAGGCTTAAACAGGATTTCTATTCCTATATCTATGATGAAGCTAACAGGTTATTAGTTGCTTCGTTTTCTCAGCAAGGGTCAAAGTTGGATTCCCAGAGTGTAAGGGAGCTGGGGAAGGAAATATATAGTCGAAAGGTCCCTTCTGGCCTCTTTGCCCTGACCCAGTGAAAAGCTATGAATCAATCCTTCCTCACTCTCCAAAAATGCCAATCCTGGAGGGGGCGGAGCAATGGGCAGCGAGAACAGGGGAATTCCTAGGGCTCTGGGAACCCCTGGGTTTTACTCCAGTCAGTGGACCCCCCAGGAGGAGGGGGGGAGGTTTTCTACAGGAGAGTGGACTTGCAGCAAGTAGGCCTTGGAAACCACCGAAGTTCAGACGGCAATCTGCCTTCGGAAGAGTTTTCCTTCCTATCAAGCAACTGACTCGAGAAGGTCGCCATTATGGTGAGTAGCTGCCCGCAGAGAGGAGAGGTATGAAGATTTACAATATGACTGCATGAACAGAGACTAAATGAACAGCTATTTAGCTTCAGCAAGTAATAGATTAGACTTTTTGGGAGGCTGATATCAAGGAGAAAGACTAATCTCAAAGTGGCATAGAACTTTGGTAACCCTGAAATACTGGAAATTTCTTACTGTGTCACATGGAAAATGGAACTAGCTTAAGACTTTAATGGAGAGACTTCCCTCTCTCAACCCCTGTCGTCCGATGAGTGGAAAAATTGGCTTTTTATAAATTAGAGGCTTGAGAATTCCAAATAACTCTGAACAATTTAACCTAAGTGACTCTGCATTGAGCTGCAAAGGTGGATTATAAAGCAAATACAGTGGTGTCTCGCATAACGAGTGCACCGTTGAACGATGAATCCGCATTGCGATGCGGATTTCCCCATCGCTAATGCGAGGGCATGCTCGCATTACGATGGGGGCACAGCTGTTCGGCGGTTCCAAAATGGCTGCTGGACACCCAAAATGGCTGCCAGAACACCCAAAATGGCCACCGGAACACCAAAAATGGCCACCAGGACACCCAAAATGGCCACCAGAACATGGGAAAACATCGGAGAACGGTGAGTTTTGGGCCCATTTGGAACGCATTAAACTTTTTTCCCCGTTCCGCTTAACGATGTTTTCCCATAGCAAAGGTTAATCCGGAACGGATTAACCTCGCTATGCGGGGCACCACTGTATCATTACGGCTGGATTTACAACTGGAATGGTCTTTGTAGGAGTCTGAGTTTGGGCTAGCCAAATAAATTATGAGGTGAACTGAATACAGTGGTGCCTCGCATTACGATGTTAATCCGTTCCAGTGAAATCACTGTAGAACGAAAACGTCATAATGCAAAAATAAAAAGCCCATTGAAACGCATTGAAACCCCTTCAATTTGTTCCAATGGGCTGCAAACTCACAGTCCAGCGAAGATCCTCCATAGGGCGGCCATTTTCGGTGGCTGTCTTGCAGGGAATCCGTCCCAAAAAACAACGGGGAGTCATTTTTTTTACCCTGCAGCCATTTTGAAACCGCCGATCAGCTGTTGGAAAATTGTTGTTTTGCAAATAATCGGTTCCCGAAGCAGGGAACTGATCATCGGGAAGCGAAAAAAAACCATTTAGACCCCATTTGTGATCGCAATTGCGATCACAAAAAGATAGTTGTAATGTGGTTTCGTCGTAATGCGGGGCAATCGTAAAGTGAGGCACCACTGTAATTAGCTTGTTTGACTTTTTGGCTCTGGAGTGGGAAAGAAAGCCACATCTAGGAGATAGAGAGTGAGATTCATCATTAAATCTACAATGGAAGATTACTTCAAGACCTGCATTCAGGAACTCCAACTGAACATTATTAATCAAATTAAGGCCCAGATCTCAGAAGTTAAGGCAGAAATTAAGGAGATACTTTTTGGATCGCATGCCAAGGGGAAGAACAGGCAGACCGAAGACAAACCGATCGGAGAAGCCATTGAAGAACTGATATCATCAGAGAGAGAGAGACTGTTTTCCTTAGAAAGCAGGATGAAACGCTGAAAAAAGGAGAGTAAAAAAATAAATCTGTATGAAAGGGAGGGGCAGGTGGATGAATGGGGAAAGTACATTTAGATTACCTTGATGGGAAAGAATGTAAAGGACGAGGAATATGTCAGGGCGAAGCTGGATGGGGCAGAAATTTCTGACCATAGATTAGACATATATGCATTGCTCCAAAGATAAGACATTAATCATATTGGGATGAAATTAGTAAACTGGAGAGAAAATGGTTTAAAGAGATTTTATAGATGGCATTTTAAAACTGGTAAAAAGGAGGCAAGAGTCTAATTTTGGATTTATGACACTGGAGCTGATAAGCACAATTAAAAGGGGGGAAAGTTACTTGCTGAACATAACAATAGAAATTGTTGGTTTGAGAGACACTTTTATACATATAAATCAATATGGTTAATATACTTATAAGCAATTCTGGCCATGTTTGGATTTTAATGATAGACAAGCACATTTAATTATGAACTTAGAAATGTTTATGAATATTAGATGCTATTGTTTCTAAGGCACTCATATAGCGTTATTAAACATATGTGAATTATAATATTGACCATGCAGATAAGATTAGACATATAATATCTTCTTATCTTTAGAAATGTTGATTTCTGATTATTGTATTGGCCATGTTTGGATCTTATTGGTAGATAGGTATATTTAACTATGAAATCAGAAATGTTTATGATGAACATAATATTTAGAGGAAATTGATTCTGAGGCACTCATATATAGATATTAAACATATATGAATTTATAACAGGTGCATGTAGATAAGGTTAGACATATATATCCTTTTGTTTTTTGGAAATGTTGATTTTGAAGATTGTAAACTATGATACTCTGAAATATAATTGGATAGATGAAAATGCAGGAGAAAGAATCTATAAAAATCACTATAAATTTAGGAGGTTAGATATTGAACTAAATATTTGAAATAGGGATATGAAATATAATATGCATAGATACATATGGATATAGTATGGTTTAGTTTGGGAGTAGGGCATAAGGTCTGTTGCAGTCAGAATCATATAATGGATAAGTTTGAATGTGAAATACCTCCCCACCTATATGTTTTGTCTGTTTATATGTCTTTTGATTGCTTCATATGTTTTTGTTTGTTTTGTATGTATGTATGTGTATATTATAGAAATAAAAGATAAAAAAAACGCCAATCCTATAATCAAAATCTCTGTCGCAGTCTGGTAAAATAAAGGCTGTGGTTTCTCTGTTGAATCAATCCATCTCAAGTTCTGTCTTCCTCTTTTCCTATCATTAATTTTTTTTCAGGGAAGTTTGTCTTCTCACAATGATTTATCCTATTAAAAATACCTTTTTATGCAAATGTGGTGGTGGAGTTGCAGGTTACTTAGTTAAGGGGGGTCATGACTTGAAAAAAGATTGGAGAACACTGCACTGGCAGAAATAAAACTCCACTGGTACAAATGGTACATTCAGCCCAGCAGTTCCCAGTACGCTCCCAGATGTTTCTAATGGTGGAGATCTGCTATCAGCAGTAGGCCTCAAAACAGGGAATTCTGTGGGGTGGATGAGGGTTTGGAAGTAACCTTGGATCTGCTGCATCCAAGGTCTCTTGGTTTCTCTGAGAGGAGCCAGGATTGGTCCTCAGCCTGGAGCCAGAGATCTGCTGGAGAAGGAAGTGGGCAAGGCTTCCAAGCAGGCAAGTGGCCCAATTCTTGCCCTGGCTGGTGTGAGCCAGCAGTGCTTTGGAAGTGGCAGACATCCTGTCAGTTCACTCCCATCACCTCTGCCTTAGGAATGCTCTGCCCATCCTGTACAAAATGAAATATGCTGTTAATTACCATTCTCAGCATTTTCCCATAGAAATTTTCTGACCCATTTTTTGAACTGCAGAATGGTAGCATCATCTGGGACTTCAAGACCAACAGTAAAAAGTTTCTTATACTCCACACTTTTAGGCAAATCCTAGCAATGAGAAAGTGAACAAAAATGCAGCACATATTATTGATCAAAATACCGCACATCTCAAAAAAATGCTCATCTTATAGGAATTTAAAAGTGGTCTATTGTTTCAAATGACTTGAGCTTTTGCATCAATCAAAACTTTGATGATACACGATGATTCCTAGACTCAGTAACTGTGCAGGACTGTTGTTTCGTGTCTTCTTCGTTCCATACTTATATATTTATATAATCAAGGTTTAACAGGAACCTTGCTCATGAGATCACCTTTAGACAATATGAAATTTTATTTGTAACATGGTTCCCAAACTATTCAGCATCACACCCTCCATAATTCCATCTCTTCTTTACCATTATCCAACCCACTTCTAATAAAAAATCCATTTATTTTACAATAAAGAATAAACACAAATCATTTGTCGTGAAAAATCCTATATTTTAATAACACTATCACAGCAATGTATTCTTGAAGGCTCACAGCACTTTTTTAAACCAGATTTTTATGAAAAATCTGACAGTTTTTCACCCTCTCTCTGGGGGATATATCCAAGGATATATGACATAGCAACATGGTTAAGTATCTGATTCCAAAGTTTTAGGTGTTATAACTTTATCATGATTATCAATCAACACCAACATTGATATGAGCTAAGAATACAATCAGTGCATCTTTCCATATTGAATGGTTTGTGAAATCAATTAGCAACATGTATTTCATAATGTAATTGTTAACATAGTAGAAATGAGAGTAGATGGTCTCCCTTTTTTATAAGCAGACCAAATAGTTCGATAGTATGTGCTAAGTTATAAATTAGGTGTTTCATGTTATTAAAGCATTAAATTAGATTTAATAAGGAAATTAGTATTGTAATATACTTCATATTTTCCTTAAAAATCACTTTCTTGTGAAAAAGAAAAAGAAAAAACAATATATCCCCTTCAAAATTTCTGAAAATTGTAGTTTCATATTGTCTTAGGGCAGAAGTAGATATTATAGACAATTTATCATTAGAAAAAGAAAAGCTTTAAGGGCTGATTGTGTGTAAACATTACAGCACAATCTTCTTTCACTCCCCGAGCACAATAATTAACTCATTTTGATTTGTCTTTCTTAAGAATTTAAGAACAGAATTCCTTTGAAGTCTGATTTCTCAAACAGTAAAGACTGTCTCAGTTATGTATCTCCAACACTAAGATGCTTCTGGCTTCAATGACAGACTATATTATCTGTTTCTGCTCTATGCCTAGTTATTTGTAACTGAAGTAAACACAATTTCTTCCACTCCTTACCCCTACTTTCCTTTTTCTCCCCCTGCACCCCTATTTCTCTTGGGTTATATATCAGATTGTAAGCTCCTTGAAGGCAAGGATCTGAACTATAGGATTCTTTAAATTATTAGATACTTTGAAAGCATCCTAAATAAATAATTGGCATCATGAAAAACTTCATCATGAAGCAGTTCTACAGTTGAGGACCAGACAGAGGATTTTTCTCTTTCTACATTTTTCTCGAAAAGGAAAAAGCCAAACAGTAACTTTACTATATACTATTACCTTATCATCATAATATCTGGTCGTATACGTTAAATCAATAATTAAGCCAAGCTCCACATTGAGCGCTTTCATTGCAGAAATCAGATCTTTTGGTGTAAACTTTTGAGTTGGTGTCAGACGATGATTAATCATCTAGAACAGAGAAAAAATAGGATAGACACAGAAAAATATGCATAGACGGCATATGGGTAATGCCATTCTAAATTCTAAATTGTATTGCCCCAAACTGAACAAATCAATGCAGCCTAGCAAAACAGACAATTTGACAAATGGCAGACTGAATGGGTCTGAATATGTTACTGTCTCCTTAGCCTTGTTCTCTAAAGAGAAACGGATAAACAGAGTCTAGGTGGAGTAGCTCATTATGGAGTAAACAGCTTCTATCTACATATTTTCACCCTTTGAAGTCTCCTTCCCAGCATATCTCTTTGCATCCTCTTGAGCAATACCGCCACTTATCAGACAGTGAATAATAAACAGACTGTCTCATTCTTGAGCTTGTGAATGACTCCACCCAGAGCAGAGAGACAAAGAAACATAGTTATTTAAATATAAAATAGCATCCGAGGGACACATCTAGGGAAAGTTGAAGATACCAGGAAAAGAGGAGAACAAATATGAGATGAATTGACTCCCTAAGCAGTGATTGCATAAAATGCAACCTCTTTGGGACCGAGTGCCCAAACTGGGGGGAAAAGAAAAACCCAATGGGCAGCGGCGACACCGAAAATGGCGGCAGAAGGGGGAATCCCCAGCACAGAGGAGACCCCACTCCGGATCCACTGCCAACACCAGCTGCTCTGGATCCTGGTTCGCCGCCTGTCAGGGCTCCAGCACTGCAGCTGCAGCCACCTTCTCAGTCTGGCTGCAGGGCGAGGGGAGTAGCGATCCAGCAACTTATGGCTTCGCGTGCCAGCGGTAGCATGTGTGCCATAAGTTCGCCATCACTGCCCTAAAGGAACCTACAGGTTTGAGATTGAAAGGGCTGAGCAGGGCAGTTAATGACAGGATATTTTTGAGGTCACTCATTTATAGGGTAAGAATAAGCTGAAGGCAACTTGATGGCACATAACAATTATTCAATGGAAATAATAATAAAGCATTGATTGTATAAAATGCATCTCGCTAACTGAAATCCTGTTGCTCAGCACAGTAAGCTACACTAGAGTAGGCCCACTGAATTAGTGGAAGTTTGGTGAGTCAATGCCTCTGTAAGGTTCATTTATTCAAATGGACTTTTTCTAATTGCAATTTACTGTACTATGTTAAAAGAAGTTATAACTAGAGTAGATTCATACATCTTCTAAATTGACTGGAATTCTGTTAGTGATCATGTATGCACAACTTGCCATATCAAATTGTGACTAACTGATTGTATACTAGGACACATGTCAATTGTTCAATTAAACGTAAGCACATGACCAGGCATGTTAGTAAGATGCTCAGTGACAGTCAATTAGCTGCAATAAGCTGCAGCAAGTTACACAAACACGACACAAATATCTATAGGATTCTAGCCATTTTTGTGATTAACATCAATTTCTGAAAATAACATTTTATACACACCCCTTTCAAAGGCACTTTGAAAGCAATGAATCGAGTTCCTGGTATAGGTTGTCCAACCGGTTGTAAATTCCGCCATCTGTTAATAAAAGCAAAATACTTGAACTTGACAAGCTGAGAAAACTGATGTTGTAACTAGTTTTTTATAGAAAGCATTAGGATCCTGATACATACAAATATGTATATGACAGAAGATTTCATTTAAATTATGGTAGATTTAGTTCACGAGTGTATTCGTGTGTCTGTGTGAGCAGTGACATCTGAATCTAGATACTATTTCCATCCCCGTTCTTACTGACTTTCCAAAACAAAAAGTTTTACCAGTTGTCTGATATTGTATATGTAGTTATTTGTGTATTTTGGTCCCAATCTTGCAGATCAGGGACATAAAGGAATCTCTTCCCATAGCACAATGTCTTGCAGCATCAATCTGCAGGGCTTTTAGGTAGTTTTCCTTCCAAAACACTGATTCTGAGTAATGTATCAACCAGCTTTAATTAAATAACATCATTTAAACAAATATAACACAGAATCTTGCTGATGTAGTCTTCAGTATGTGAAATTACATAATTGTGGTGGCTTACAATTTGAGATTTGGCTGCAGGGGTGGGGGTAGGAGGCAGGGGGCTAGCGCTCTGCTCAGGGGGGGGGGGGGGGGGGGGGGTGGTAGCGCTGTGCTCATTACCCCCAGGTTTTTCACTTTTACCCCATTTGGGGTAATTCACCCCTGTTCCCCGACCACTACCATAGAAGAAACCGTCTTGCAAGGCACCATAGCGATCGCAAAAAACAATCATCTTTCGGGTTTTTCGTCCCGTGAGGCAATCATCTTGTGAGGCACCACTGTATTAGCATAGACCCCTCCCCCCAGTATATATACCTTGGCGCCAGGATCTCCCTTCAGTTAGGTCAACCGCTGCATAAAGAAAAAGGGTGTGACAGTGGGGAGGCCAGGTTGGGATGTGTGAATTACAGAGGTCCACTCGAAGAACTACAATAACAGGTAAGTAACCTGTCATTCTTCTTCGTGGCCTCTGTGAATCACACTATGGATGACTAACAAGCTACCTTACCCAGAGAGGGTGTCACGCCAAGGTAGATGAGAAAACAACATGCTCAAAAGCAGCATCAGATTTCTGCTGAATGTCCAGTCTGTAGTGATTGATAAATGTGGATGGCTGTAACCACGTGGCAGAGGCACAGACGTCAGGTAGAGGGACGCCTCAAAGAAATGCCGTAGAAGTTGCCGATGCCCTGGTGGAATGAGGGTGGATACTCTGTGGTGCTGGAGCTCAAGCAAGCTGATAAGCTAGCTGGATGGTAGATGCAACCCACTTGGATATTCTCTGAGCTGTGAATTGAAGACCTTTGGCAGAAAGTTGAAAGCTGACAAAAAGTCAAGCTGAACGTCTGAAAGATTCAGTGTGGGCTATGTAGAAAGCCAGAGCCCGTCTTACATCCAATGTATGGGAAATTCTTTATTGAGGAGTAGATGGAGACAGAAAGAAAGACAGAAGAACCAAAGGTTGGGACAGGTGAAACTGGGAGACCACGTTGGGTAGAAAAGATATACAAAAACATATATAAAAAGTCTAACCTTATCTGGGTAAAACTAGAGATAAGGATAGTCAGACTTCAAGGCCGCAAGTTCACGAGCACGTCAAGCTGACGTGATGGATATAAGAAACGATATTTTGAAGGTAAGTAACCTAAGTTCAGTTGATGCCAGAGGCTCCAACGGGGCCCTTGTAAGTTGTGGAAGGACCAATGTCAGTGACCATTGAGGTGGTGGTGGGCGTACATCTGGGTGCAGGTGTGACAGCTCTTGAAGAAAGCGTTTCAGAGTAGGGTGCCTGAAAAACTTAGCTGCTGGAGAGGTTGGTGGTTGATAAGCCACAACTGAAGAAAGGTAGACCTTGAGGGACAAACGAGAAAGGCATTTAGTTTTTAACTGCAATAAAAAATGTAAGACAGTGATAAGAGAGGGGTTGGTTGAGGAAAGGGATGATTCTGCGGTAAAAGGAGAATTTTATCTCCATTTGTACATATACACTTTTCTGGTTGAGGGTTTCTTTGCATGATGAATGACATTCATCAATGAAGTTGAATCCTCCACGTTGCGAGATGAAGTGCAGGGAGATCTGGGTGGAGAATTTGATTTTTGTTCTGCATGAGCAGGTGAGGCAAGCGGAGCAGGTGATAAATGTCAGACGACACATGGTGGAGAACTGGGAACCATGGTTCTCGTGCCCACCACAGACAGGGCTATCAGGATAGCATTGGGCCTGTTTAAGGGGGGAAGGGATGTAGTGTTCACCCTGCTCATCATTATTTATGTTGTGATTTGCATGCACCAATAGGAGTTGGTGGGGACAGAGTTAAGTGGGGGAGAAGGAGAGAGAGTAAGAGGGAGATCAGGCCTTGAGAGTAGAGAAAGAAGGTTGTTTTAGTTGAGAGTTAATGACCTTGACTGGGCTTTTATCACTTCTAACAATAAACAATTTCTAGTTGGTTCTTAAACGATACGTTGCCTGAACCTCTGTCGTTAATAATGAACAAAGTTGATGTAATCAACTGGTGGCAGCTGAACATCAGGTAGTGTGTGCTTTTTCTTGGTGAAACGACCAAAGGCCACGTGGGAACATGACAACTAGGCAGGTAAATATAGCCAGTCGTTGAATAGTGTTGAGGCAAACAATTAATTTGGTGAACAGCAAGATAGGAGAGTAGCAAGGAGAGTGTCTGCAATAGCGATAATTTGTAGAGTGAGAATGGGATTGAGAATAGACATAGGATGAGCAGAAAAAAACATTGATACTGGAGATCTGGATCAATGGCAGTGTTGATAAGAACAGTATGACTGACCAGGTGACTGATTGTGGTAAGAAGTTGATGGATAAGCCAGGTTCATAGAGGACGAATCCCAAGCCTCCCTGTCGGAAGCAGACTTGAGACTGGGAGGGGAAAATTGTTGAGTGTTATGCATGCAGTTGAGGGAATGACATCCAGTGAAGAAGTCAAATTCAGGTCAAAAAGTCCTTCTAGAACTGCAGAGCTGGAAGGGACCCTATGGATCATTCAGTCCTGCCCCTCTCAAGGAGGCACAGTGGGGAATTGAACTCCCAACTTCTGGCTCTGTAGCCAGATGCCAAAACTACTGAGCTATCCAGCAGTCCTACTTCAGACTATGGAGTTCAGTGCAGCAAAAAGTGTAGAAACTCGTACCAATGATGGAGCAGAAGTGAAGGTGAGAGTTGAAACTGGTTAAAGTATGGAGAGACAGATGTTGAAAGCAAGTTTGTAAATAGAGTGGTTGGCAATGGCAGTCTACCTTGAGTGGTTGGTTGGTGCAAACTGGCTGGTAGCTAATACTGAGTCAATAGTGGCAAGGATATCACTGGAGAAAGCACGGGGTTTTTGAAACTTTGGTTTAATCCTCTGATCAGTCTTTTCGTCCATGCATTTTCAGCCTTTGCCTATCAGGCATAGGACCAGCCGAATGCTAGGAGCCTTGTCTCTTCATTTTCGTGGGAAGCAGGTCATGCCCTGGTGAAGGTGGCGGGGGGGGGTGAGAAAGAAGGCTGGGACACTGGCATGGAAAGGGACACTGTGCTTACTGTGGCATCAAAGCTGAGGCTAGCCACAGGAGCAGTGCAAGGTCTCTGAGATGTTGAGGTGGTGCTCAATCCAGTATCAATCTTGGTACAGTGGGGTCTCGACTTACGAACGGCTCGACATACAAACGTTTCGACTTACGAACCGCTCTCATAGGAATATATGGACTCGACTTGCGAACTTAGATTCGAGTTATGAACTCTTTTTTTCCTTTTTTTAAAAGCTAAGTTATCTTAGGTTAAAAGGAAAAAAAGAAAAAAATATCCCCCTCTAGTGGCAGAAGGCGGAATAGCAGCTTCCCATTAGTTTCTATGGACGAAAAGAGCAGATACGGATTAAATGGTTTTCAATGCATTACTATGGGAAATGCAGATTCGACTTAAGAACTTTTCGACCTGAGAACTGCCTTCCAATACGGATTAAGTTCGTAAGTCGAGACCCCACTGTATTCTGCTTCCTGAAGCAAGGATCTGTGTCAAAGCCAGGATTGAGGATGGGATAGGCAGAATGGCTGGATTTGGCCGAAGCTGATCTGTAACCTAGGCAGGCTGGCAAAGGTTCCAAAGACTACCTAGAGGGCACCTGGGAGAAGGAGACTGACACCATATGCAGTCTCAGAAGCCAATTTTGCTGTGTTTAAAGACAATTCTCACAGAATAAGTCTAAGTCTAGACCTCCTAATACTCCCTCAACAAGAAATGCATGTTTTAAACAAAGCCTTCATATAGTGGCTATATGAGTGGGGAATGCCTGCAATAATAAAGAGAAATGTCATTTAATTGGGGTGGGGTGGGGTGGGGTTGGTGGTCATTGTAGTAAAGAAAATAAGAAAAATAGGGTGAGATGAGAAAGGATAGAAGGAGCAGACTTGTGGTTGCTGAAGAATTGCTAGCTGGAGTGTCAAAATGCTTTCTGAGGCAGAATACAAGGAATGGAGGTCTACCACCAAAAGTTAGCTAGAGAATGTTCTGGAATGTGGCTCTGCATATGCACAAACATTTGTGAGCTCAACAGAGACATGAAGAACCAAACTCCAGTGTAAAAATAGAGCTAACCAATATCAGATAATCTATAAACAGATGAAAATCAGTAAATTTATGCTGATTTTAATCTGGAAAAAAATCCCTGAAGGTCTTCTTAAAAAAAAGGCCTGGTACAAAAAAAGTCCACAGTGAAGGCGGGACTCTTTTGGGAGAGCTTTTCACAGCTGTGACACCAGCACTGAGAAAGCCCCTTTATCAAAGAGAGACGCAGTGCAAGGCCAGCATCAGGAGTCTGCTCAGTTGGGCAACTGTGAACAGTCTATCCCTTCAGGAGGGACCAACATCAAACCTGATACCAAACCCAAATGCTGGCTGCCAGAGAAATGATAGTGCCAGAGGCCTGACCAAATGTGCCATCAACCCTGACCTGAGGGTTTATGTAGGTTGTGTGGGATGACCATTTAGATAACCTACCATATTC